CACCCAGTGAGGTTCGAAATCACTACTCAGTCGTAATTCTTCTAACGACACAACATTTACAACACCTCGAGGTGCCTCTGTATTCCAAAATATAACTTCAACAAAACTACCACATAAAAGCCATTCATCACCTCCTCTAGTCATTATGTCCACACAAACATGTATATGCACAAAAGCTGAGTAACATCTACCATGTATTTAATTGTGAAAGCAGAATAACATATATATTTATTAATTCAAAACGCTCAACACAATTAAATTTCGGTATTAAATAAGTAAATATTTCAGAATATACATCTATTTATGTGAATTTATATATTTCCAGTTTCAGCTTCTAATACAAAAACTATTGAGGATCTCTTGTTTAGGGCTGTCAAATGTTGCAAACAAAGTATAATATAAAATGTTATTTGTAAACAAATCCAAAAGATATAGACCCTAAAAACGTATTTAACACAATATCCCATATATCTAAATAAATTATTATTTTACGTTATTTTGTTATGATGGACTCCTTGATATTCTGTAACCTTCACAGGCCTCTCAATTGTAAATCTAGTTAATTTTTCTACTAATCGAATCCAATATTGATAGCTGGAGGCTTCATTACTTGAATATTGATTTCAATTCTAATGTACATTTCTTTTAATGATTTATTACGCATCTATTTATAAATTTACTGCCAACAAATTTAGCCCCAAACATTACGACATAAACTCCTTCTTGTCTCTTAAATCGTGTTGACTGATAATTTCAATAGAAAACTCAACCTCTATTCCAGGTTCATCCAATATAGCTCTGCATTCATCACTAATTTTTTTTATTTCATCTACCTCGACGCCCAATTTACATATTTCTTTTTCTGATGTTTACTTAAGAGTAGTAGTTCGACTCCACCGTGCCTCTCTCCCTCCCTCCCTCCCTCCCCCCCCCTCTCTCTCTCTCTATATATATATATATATATATATATTTATTTTTTCTTATATTTTGGCAGCATACCTAATTTCATCGCATTTTTTCTATTCAGGACTGTGTTTCCGGTTCCTTCTAAAGTTAGCTACAACTCTGTACTACTAATGTCGGCGTCTGAACCCTGATATGTTATTCACGAATTATTTATTTTATTTTACTTTTTTTTTTATCTCCATCATCAATAAGAGTAGACCGTCCGATTCAAGGATGTGTCTGGGTTTAGAGTTTAACCAATTTCGTTTAGTTTCTTTTTGTTTCTGTCTATGATTTTATCATTTTTGTCATTAATTACCCGCATTGTGATAATAGAAGATCTGTCAAAAAAAAAAAGGTGAAATGTTATAAGAACCTGGACGCAAAATTATTGTGGGTGATCTCACGATTAAATTACTTACCCTTTCGTCTTAGTAAATTGTTTTCTCATTTAATTAAAGTAACTTTTTTTTAAATCGAAATTAGAATCAGTCATTACGGTGCAATTAATGCAGTAAGGGTTTTGTATTTTTCCTTGTATATTATATTCCCTCCCCATATATATATATATATATATATATATATATATATATATATATATATGAGATAACCATATATATTTTTATATATCAAGAACAATGTTGAGGAAATTGTAAGACAAAATGGAAAAAAGTTTGTGATGCGTTTTATCCGTTACGACTTAATCGGACTACATTTTGTTGAGGTTGTTGTGATTACACGTGCACACGAAGGAGAAACTCTGGCAGTTTCAAAAATTTTAAAATAATTTTTTGCAGTCTAGTCAAATTCATCTAGATTTGATTCCATCGTCTTTTTTTATTAAATAACCTGCATGGTGATAACAGAAGATATGCCAAGAATCGCGAAACATTGTAACAACCTGGAAGTAAAATTACTGTGAAGGAACTAACGATTAAAGCACTTTCCAGACATTTCTGTCTGAGTGAATTATTTTCTCTTTTAAACAGAATAGCATTTTTATATCAAAATTGTTGTCAATTTCGTTACGGTAAACAACAAATGTGTTTTGTGTGATGCCTTTTAAAATGATTCTTTCGTGTTCATATAGTCTTTTGTTTAAACTTCTTGAGGTTTCTTCAATATATTCTTTCTGGCAATCCTTGCGATTGATGGAGTAAATTCCCCCTTCAACTTTGTTGTTTTGTTTTGTATTGATTAAATTTTTTATTACTTTAGATATTGTTGTGTTAAATTTTATCTTGAGTTTACATAAATTCTTTTCGGTTGTAGTTGTGATAGACTTATTGGGTAGCATAATATATTTTTTTGGTTCGTTGGGTTTGTCAGGAAGGACAACTCTTTTATTTTGGAATATTTTATGAGTCTTTTGTTTCGCATTGACTATGAAATAGTTCGGGTATTGAAGTGTCTTGAAAATATTCCCAATATATTTCTCCTCTTCGTGTAAATATTGAGGGCTGCAAATTCTGAGTGTTCTTAAATAGAATCCAATGATCATTACGGATGTTATTTTGTCGTTATGATGAGAATAGAAATTTATTATGTCATTTTTTTTTTACTGGTTGATTTTCGATGGACACTTATTTTGTTTCAACATTTTGGTGTCTCATCAAGTGATGGTGTTGAATGTAGAATAAAGGGTTTTAAAAGGTTCAAATCAATCAAATACCCCTCGCTAGGGGAAACGAACCTTTGTTATAATAATTAATTAATGCTTTAATATTAGGGTCGGACTAAAATAGAATTCATTCTAACTAATTAATATTAAATTTTACTATAAAATTAAAAATTACCAATTTTAAATTTAATCTGTATTAAGTTTAAAAAATTATAAAATTATTTAAAGAAGAAACTGAGGAAAAAATACATATGTTTTGTTATTTGTTGAAAGGCCAAAAATTAAGTTAGAATAAACGTCAAAATCTAACGTTGCTCTGAGCTTCGTTACAACTTAGATGCATTTGAAGTGATGATATGGGCAGGGGAGGGTGAAATCATGCAAAAGACAATACATGCACAATCAGATTATAATGCACAAACACGTAGACATATTGAAACACGCAATAAAGCGACGAAACTGGGAATACTGAAGGCAGCAACGTTTTGACTTTCCTGATACAATCACAACTTCGCTGGGCTGGTCATGTTGCAAGGATGAGTGACAGCAGAATACCTAAAGTTCCTCATGTATAGCCAACTTTTGACAAGTGGACAAAGGAGTATTAGACGGCTGTGGTTCAGGGATAAATACAAGCTAAAGAGTAACCTCTTAGCTATCAATGTGCTTCATACCAACTTCGAGCGAGTTACCCTAGATAGAAATAACTGGAGATATTTGTGTCAGAGTGGTATCAGAAATATCGAAAATCAGTCGTATTGATCGACTAAGAGACGAAAGACAAAGGCGAAAAGCGTCAGCAAAAAATTCCTGTTGCTATGTTCGAGATCCTCGCTGTTGCCCAGTGCGTGGACTTGTATGCAGGTCACTAGTTGGAATGAAGTGTAACATATGACGCAAACATAAAAATTTTATGAGGTTGTCGGATCCTCATACGTCAAAATCGTCAGGAGGTCCATTATATATATATATATATATATATATATATATATATATATATATATATATATATATATATATATATTCAATATTTAGGCAGCATATTTTAATTCAAACAGGTTAGGTTAAGTAATTTAGACATATATGTTGTCGATTAGTTTTCGTTTGTGATCCTTTCAAGTTCTCGGATTAATTTTTTTCGTAGCTTTAGAAACATGATGACAACGAAAACAAACTAATTAACATGATATATCTAAATTATTTAACCAAACCTGTTTGAATATATATATATATATATATATATATATATATATATATATATATATATATATATATATATATATCAAATATGTGGTGCAGTTCAATTTATATTATAATGAATCATTCAACAAAAGTAGATTATTAAAGTTAATGATATAAAATGGCGAAAACTCTTCACAAACAGAATTTTAAAGTTGCATTAACCTACGAACCACTCGATGAATGTTATGATCTTTGTTTTTAGTAACTACAAACTGTATAAGGGCTTTTTTAATCTGCTAGTACTTTCAACTGTACATACAGTCATCCTCAAGCATGGAAATTATTTTGTTTTTAGTAAATTCAGGTAGCATTGGAGACGAAAGATTAAATGCGAATCGAAATATTTTTTTGAGATACCTGTTATTGTTAACGGATAAAAACTTTTAGAGAGTACGGTTGCTACGCTAAGGTTGATTTTTTTGAAAATTTAAGAGAATGCGTTTTTTACTAATAAGGTAATTTGAGAATATTAGTAAAAATTAACTTTACTAATCTACTTTTTGTATGAATGATTCATTGTAATATATATATATATATATATATATGTATATATATACAGTACGAGGCAAAACGAATTATCTTACACACTTGTCTTGGTAAAAATACAAAAACCGACTTTCTATAGGTGCGTCCATTTTTTACTTCATACTATATATATATATATATATATATATATATATATATATATATATATATATATATATATAATATCGAACTTTTTCCATATAGCTAATATGTATTTCTTTTCCCGATTTAAGTTTCCCGCCAAAATAGAAATGAATTGGCGGGCAAACCAGAAAAAAGCAGAGAAAAGAAAGGAAAAACAAACGTAAATATCACAAGATACAATATCAAAAGAAGATAATATCACAAATCGAATAATCACATCCGTTGATCCATTCTGTTGTTCTTAAGAATAAATAAATAAATAAATAAATACCTCCGCCCATCCGTCCGTCCACCTGTCGACTTGCTGCTCTCTATAAATACGCCGACATTTTTGTCGATTACCCATCCCGTTTGTGCGCCCGATCGTGACACAGCGGCCCGTGTCACAATTTATTACTATTCAACAGCAAAAATAAATTTAAAAAGAAAAACACTGAAATCAGAAAACGTTGGAACTTCGAACAAATTCAATTTATTGTAAAATACTCGATCGAAAGATTATCTATTTCTCTTATTTCAAATGATGTCTACGCCATTATTGGCATTATTCGGACTCGTCCTTGGTTCCCTGATTGTGTTGGGTCCCAATTCAACGACAGCATTCACCGTGAAGCTTCTCGGCAATGACTACACTTTTGGAGAAGTATATGTCGAAAGTTTAGATAAGAAAAACAGGACATCTATTCCGAATTGGGACGAGGTCTTCCCGGATCATAATGGAAATGAAAGCAGCAGGGGAAATGTCGATTTACCTACTTCCGATGAACTTTCCTTAGATTTGCTAAGCCTCAGAGCACCGATGACAAATAAGGAAATTGACGTAAGTTTATTATTATTATTATTATTATTATTTATTTTCATTTGTCCATTTACACTAAAGGTTTCTGATCATTAGCGGCGGAATGGGTCTAAAAATAATGGTTGCCATGAGACAAAGGGGCCCACACACAGCTACAATGCTATCATTTAATTTTCCTAACGAATATTTTCAAAAAAATCCATATGGAAAAAAAGGGTAAAATTTTGTCGAAAATATGCACATTTCTTAGTAATTACATTGTGCATAGCGAATATATATTGCTGGCAGTAGATAGCAAATGTAAATTCAGAATGTTATAATTGAATTTTTAATTTTTTAAATTTTAATTAATTAGTTGATATTTTTAAATAGATTACTGCACAATTCACATATTAACAGATAATTTAAAAACTATATTAAGAAGAATCGTTTGTGTTCATCAGATAATTTTTTATTTGATATAGTGGACCCACTTGAAAGCCCCCCCCCACTGCTAATCATTGTTGTCATAGATTAAATAATAGAAATTCTTATCGAATTACCAACGTCCTTAGAAACAATCACTGGACGATCTGAGTTATATTAATAGGAATCGTTTGTGTTCATCAGACGATTGTTCGAATCTGCCAACAATTGCTTCTGCATCCAATTCATCTAAAAATTCGTTTTCAATGGATAACAACATGTTTGATTCCAAATTCTCCTCAGGCAGCGAATTTCTTAACCTTGTCTTTATGATCTTTACCTTTGAAAATGTCCTCTCACATTGGAATTGAGTAACTGAGAGTGTGCACATGACTTTATAAAGTTCATATTCCTTTTTATAACGAAAACAGTTATCTGAGTTCTTTATTGTATTTTTATTTAATATAGGAGACCCACATGAAAGCCCGCCACTGCTAATCATTGTTATCATAGATTAAATAATAGAAATTCTTATCGAATTACCAACATCCTTAGAAGCAATCTCTGGACGATCTGTGTTATTTTCAAATCTCAAATTCATTCAATCTGACCTCTAAGGTCTTTTAGAATTTCCTAGTATGCCAGCACGGCACAACTTGTATCTTCTCATTCCACATTCAGTTTTCTTTGCTTGTAAATTCGATTCTCACTGAGTGCCCTTTTCATGTGATATTTTGACTGTCTATGTAAAATTCACGATACTATTATGCATTGACACTTTGAGACCAGTCACCTCATCATTGTTCATCACGACGTTTCTGCTTATATCCTGGCCTTCATCAGCAAATAATACTCTTTTTTTATTATTCAAATATTTATATTGTTTATAAGATTTTCTCTGTTCGGGCGCTTCGACATGGTATAAGCTTAGAAAATCTCCATAAGATATTTTTTTGCTTATTATTTTGTACGTGACCAGATGTTTATAGCATTAGAATTCAGCCTGTGAGACCCAGGTTCGAATCTCACCATAATCGATCAGTCAGTAACAATTAAGATCGTTTTAATTTCGACGCTCCTGCTATATATATATATATATATATTTGTGTGTGTGTGTGTGTGTGTGTGTGCAAGTACCATTGGTTTACTCCGTCAATTCGCAGTCCTTTGCATATTTTCTAATAGATCACCTTTCCCACACAGACTATGTTATTACGTCTGAGCGAAGTACTGAATATGTTAATTGTTTGGAGATATATATTTGAAACTAGCTGAAGTACACGTCTACACCGAATAAAACGGCCAAACTTATATAACAGATAATTACAATGCAATTAAAACTATTCTTTAGTTGCTAAGAAAGTTGGTTCACTGTGTCTATCTTACATATCTATAAGTCTACCATTCGTCTATACCTAGAATATTGCTGCTACATATGGCCTGGTGCCCCTGTTATTTACCTTGAACTTCTTGATAAAATCCAAAGAAGAATCTGCATTATTATTCACTTGCCCACCGCCGTAAGGTCGCCTGTCTGTGTCTTTTCTATAAATACTTTTCATGGTAATTGTTCGGATGGGCTCTTCCCTATTGTACCTAGACTTTATGAATTTAAATTTAGTACTAAACTGGTGTCGAGATCTCATCAATTTACAGTTGATCTGGCTAGATGTAACCGTAAATTCTATGCTAACAGCTTCTTTTCTCGCATTTCTTGCTTGTGGAACTCCCTTCTGGCTCCATGCTTTCCAGCCAACTTTAATCTACACAATTCTAAATACAATGTCAATCGCAATGTCCTCCTGATTATTCTTTTCTCTTCCCGCTCATTATTAATGTTTCTGTTTCTAATTCTTCCACACCCTTGTGTCTTAGTGGCCTTGCATGGGGTGATAGCGATTGAAAAAAAGAAAAGTAATGTAGTAGTGTGATAGCAAGAATCAAGTTATGCGAAGCTGCTGGACACACACACACACACACACACACACACACACACACACACACACACACACACACACACACACACACACACATAAAATGTCCCGGAGAGCACATATTTTTCTAATAAGATTTCTAGAATATTCAGGCCGGTAAGCGGAAATAAATATTCAACAAACAAAATCACCAGATATATAAAATCAGTGTGAGAGCCAATAAAAATTATATATTTATTTTTTTAATAAAAACGCCCTCGGTAAGATGATCATTCCCTACTAGAAATTTGGGGGTTCGCCTTGACGGAAAAAGAAATCGTTCTACAATCTGCAGCAGACTTTTCACCAGAAATGGTAATTTTTCACCAGAAATGGTAATCTTTCATTTTTACAAAAAAAAAAAAAACAAAAAAACAAAACAAAAACAAAACTATTCTAGGAGATGAGCATTTAGTTAAACGTTTCAGCCCTGAGCGCTGCTTCTTAAACTTGTATACGATCAACATATATGATAAAAACTGAAGAGGTGACTAATCGAAAAAAATACTAATTATTTATCATTAATGTTTTAAAATTTGTAATCATATTTTAACTCAGTATGTGCTTTTGAGGAAATGCTAAAAAATGTTCTTTTTTTCCTAGGATTATCTAATAAAATATGGCTACCTCAGACCAGCAGAGGAAGGCATTGTTACAGAAGAAGAAAGAAAAGAAGCGATAAAGTAAGCACTGCGACTTTAATCCCCAACTCTACGAGGGTGGAGGTCAGTTAAATAATATCGCCCGTTCTAATGTTATTTTAAATTAGTCAGAACCTTTAGTTATTATTTTTAAGTTACGTGCGAAGAAGCCCAAAGTGAAAAAATTGTGGCTTTACCTTCTCTTTCGAAATAATTGATGCCTTAAATATACGTAGAATGCTCTGTTATAGAATTTCAGTTTTTGAAAGAAGAAAATACTGCAAACATTCACGTGCCAACTGTCTTTGTGAAGGAAGATAAAGCCAAGCAAATTGATGCTCATATCTCTGTCTATATCTCTGAGATGAGGTATTATGATTACTTACATTATTCGGACTGTTATCCTCATCTTCATTGCCATATTCACAACTTCTCAAAGACACAGCCAGTGGAAAAGGGCGTTGGTTAGATCCAATAACTAGACCCAAAGAATTGTGAGTTATATACCAGGTTACAGCAGTTGGGAACCAAATACTTGAAGAGTTGAATTAAAGGAAAATAACTGAGGCATTCGGAAGAGGCGTAGTACGTGGAACTAGAACACTCTACCTCGGTGGACGAAATAAATCCCAGTCGCCTGAAGAAGGCCGGAGAGTACAACAGCCGAAACATTCTGAATATGTCAGTGAAGATCAGGATAACAGTCCGAATAATGTAAATAATGTAAGTAAACTGATGCTCTCATCACAACTAACGAATCATTGCAAAACCTTGTTAAAGCCCTCAGGTGGGACTAGGTGGGTTGATTTTGTTAAGGAGCATATCAACACCTCTATGGATCATTCAATACCGAAATCTAAATAATTTAAATGCAATTTTATGGCTTCAACTAAATATATTTTGAACCCAACTGTATACCTTCGGCTACAGATAAAATGCATTTTTGGTCATGTATTGTCAGTCTTTTTATATAAAAATTTATTGCTGGTATTTTTCTTATTAAAATATATTTTTATATTTTCATGGTGTTTTTGCTTGGGGGCGGGGCTCACTATTTCCTATAGCTGGGACCCTAACAGGTGCTACCACCCCCTGTCAGGGTGAACCTAGGAACAACATCAATTAAGAGGTGGTTCCACGCTCCTCAAAATCCCCAATATTTCGATCAGAGGCCTTGCTTCCAGATGTAGTTTATCGTCATACCCAGGACTAACTATCATTTGCAGTTTAGTACACAGTATGTGTGTGTATATTCGTTCTCCACACATATATATTATGCATTATATTATTATTATAAAGAAACCTATACAGTAACTACATGTATCTTGTATGGTGTATGTCTGTCTGTTTGTGTGAGTGTGTGTTTATGTGTGTGTGTGGTCCGATTAGTGTGTTTGTCACTATGTGTGTATGGTGTGTGTTTTATGTGTGTGGGGGTTATGATTTTATTAGTGCTGGTTTAAATTTGTCTGTGAACTTTGTTGCATTTGTGGATGGGTTGTGACACAGAGAGTTTCCTGTTGTCTGGTAATTTTATGTTGCTTTTGGGAAGGGAAACTGTTGTTTAGTGCTTGGGTGATACCTATATAAGGCTTGTTGCATTTTGCGTAGTTGAGTGCATAAATTTTTGGAGTTGCAATTTAAGTTTTTCTTTATTATGAATGCTGTGGGGCTTTCAAATGTGTAGGAGTTTCATTCTATAAAGATATCACAAACACCACATCTTGTTGCTTTTTTGTTACTCTTTGTATTATGTGTTGATTAAATTTGGATGAGGTTAATATGTGTTTTAGGTTTTTAGATCGGCATTTGCTTTTAATTATTTTGGTTGTTTTTAGTATATTTTTCATTTTATCATTCTTGTCAAGTAGGTCTAGATTACTTGTAATTTCTGTAAATAGTTCTGAATTGTTCTTGAACGTTGAGACGTATGCTAGAATTTGTTCGTTGTTGCGTTTCTTTGCATTTCGTAGTTGGTCTAAAGGTATTATTTCTGCTAGTTCAAAACCTTTGTTTATTAGAAGGTCTTTTTCGGACGTTTTTGTCGGCCACTATAGTGAAAATCCCACATGCTAGGGATGGATTTTAGGCAGCTTTTTGGGTGATGGCTCTTGAAATGAAGATATTGTTGGATGTCTCTAGGTTTGTGGTAGATATCGGTGATAATGTGGTTGTTTCTATTTCTGATGAGTATATCTAAGAATGGCAGTTCGTTAAAATTATGTTCTTGATCTTTAGGTGTAAGTTTTGGAAAAGATTGTGTAATTAGTTAATATTACTCCATGAGGATTTCCAGATCGTTTCCAGGATTTTTGTGAAGTGGGTTTTTATATTTTCTCCATATATTTGCTCTATCTTTTCATAGAGGTTTTCCTTTAGGTAAGCTAATTTTAGGGTGGAATATGTTGTGCCATTTTCGTTCCCATCGCGTTACCTTGGGTTTGGATATAGTTTTTGTTGTCAAATTCAAAAGTGTTGTTGTTCAGGATTAGGTCTATACTATCGATAATGAATTCCTTTTTCAATCCAGAATGAGATAGCCTGTTTACCTAATTCATGGGGTATGTTGCTATATAGGTTACTGATGTCAAACGAGTGTTTCGGATCTACTTATTGTGTTATGGAGCTAAGGAAGTGTATATCGTCTCTGATGTAGCTCTTAATCTGTCTAGTAAATAGTTGTAGTATGGTGTCTATTAGGTTACTGAGTCTGCTAGTTGGACAGGCTGGTCCTGCTACTATTGTTTTGAACATAAGGTCACTGGGGTTTCGGATGTTAATACATTCAGATTTTTGTGTCTGGATAGCTGCTTTTATTGCTCTGACCAATCCTAATTGATTTGTTACCCCTTAAGCAAAAGAATATTTTTTCTGCTAGTCCAAAAAGAATTTGGATTACTACCACACACAAATGACAATGGTTAAGCATAAGAAAACATAAGAAAAAATAATATCTTTAAATAATATGTGGAAATAACCATTCTGCGCCTAATTAAGTTTACAAGACCCGAATAATGCGTAACAAAAAATATGAAAAATAAAGTATAATATATAAAAATAAATCCACATTATATCCAAAAACGATTGTAGCTTCTCTTTTCTCCTTAAAATATACACTTTTCTCCTCTCGTTGGATGAACTATAATCTCTTCCTGATATATATATATATATATTCGCTATGGTATCGAGACTTTTTGAATTTAAGCGCAGTATAATACTGGCGTCGAGAGCTCATCAATTTACTGTCGTGCTGAATAGATGTGTTGTATCCTTAAACAGGTTACAAACAGACAAAGGTGGTACTCGAGTGAAGGAACAGCAACACGCGCGTAGATGAAAGAAAGAGAGGTTTATTTTAAAAGAGAATACACTACTGAAAGACAGGGAAGTAATTCCCGAAGCTAGCACCTAGTATATCCTGTGCTCACTATATATATCTACTGAGATAGCCAGTCCACGTAGGCGATATGAAGTGTGGGACATTCCATTACAACACCCCACCCCGAGCTAATTTTCTCATGAAATTTTGCTCAATATCTCTTCTTTTGGGGGTCAGGACATAATTGTTTGACTTTTTTCTCTTCCTAGTACTTCTTCGTCTCACCAATTTTTACGCTGGTGAGATTTAAGGCATTATCGGTTTTCGGGGAGCTGATACTTCCGGAACTGGCGGGGTGGGAGTTACTTCCATCGGTACAGGTGGAGATATGGGAAATGGTATTTTGAATGCGTCATATATTACCACCATTGTTAATTCTTCACTAGGCGTGACATCTTTCGTATGTCTTGGCCTTAACTGATTTAAATGTCTCTTACATTCAAATCTTCTTCTTTTGAGCTTGTATATCACCCTGCCAAGTCTTGAGTTTTGTATTCCCATCTTCAAACTTGCGTAGAATTACTGCTCCGATCCCATAGTTGCTAGTGTCAGATGCTACAATTATTTCTTTCTTAGAGTCAAAATGCGCTAATGATATATTTGATAGCAGACAACTTTTTATTTTCTGGAAAGCATCTTCGCATTCTTTAGACCAAATCCATTTTGCACCCTTTTTCAATAAGTCATTCAATGGGGCTCTAAGATCACACATTTTGGGAATGTAGATACTGTAATAGTTAATCAAACCTAAAAATGGCTGAAAATTAGTGGCGTTGTTTGGTGGTGGCGTATTTTTAATAGGTTCGACACTCTCCGGGTCCAGTCTTCTTCCATTCCTGTCGATTATTTGATCCAAATATTTGATCTGCTTCATAAAGAACTTGCATTTATCTGAACTTAGCTTGAAGCAATATGCGATAGGGAGTGTGGGACATTCCATCACAACAAGATGTAACCGTAAATTCTATGCTAACAGCCTCTTTTTCCCATTATTTATTTTATCATAAAATAAAAAGATTTTAGTTTTAGTTAATGAGACTTTAGGTGTTGATTGTTATATTTATTGACAATAAATTTCCAATTCAAAATGGCTAACCCTTTGCTTTCAGCATAGCTCTTAATTTCTCAAATGAAGGGCGTGATTATTACCCACCTCTTGTGCTACAATGTCATGAGAGCGTCTTTCAGATCTGACCCACTTGAGTATTAGCTACGTGAAACATCACTCTCTAGTATGGGCCATATTGCAAAGTCTATAAGATTAATGTCAGGACTTGAATGGAGACTAAATTGACTTGTCAAAATATTCATGGAAATACCTTTTACACCAGTCCTGTGTCAAATTGGCCGTGTGTGCGGGAGCTCCGTCTTGAGTGAAGACATTAGCTCATGGCAAGTTCTATGGCAATAAAAAATCCGTAGAAATTCCTCTATCGCATTGTTAAATATTTGAGTTTAACAACTTTAACAAAACGTAGCAATAAATATTATATGCTGGTCGTTATTTTAAGAAGGGGTATAAATGAAAAGATTTGACAACCTTTTTCACGCCACTGAAACAATCGTTAAATACTTCTATTTTCCCTTCTTTCATTTTTTTTCATTTTTCATGATCAAAACAGAATAATCCATTATTTAAACCAATAATTACCTCATGATCAAAACAGAATAATCCATTATTTACGAGGTATTAGCAGAGCGTTAAATCTAGCGTGCTTGTGCTGTACTTAAAGAGCTAAGCTGGGGTTTCTTGTTCTTTCAATGTGTTGTTTTGTTCCATTTTTATAATTCAAGCACCTATTACCACTGGTATTATTCTTGTTTTCAATTATTTTTTTATTATTATTAGTTTTTATTATTATTCAATTATTATTATTTGCTTCAATTTTTCTGTTGATTTCTGATGCATTCATTTCTTTTGGCCGATGGGTCTTACAACCAAAGTGTTTGCAAGGTCAAAAATGGCTTCTATGATTTTATATTCATTTTTAACCTAAGAGCATTTTGGATCCACATTATGATATTTGCCTGAAAATTTTATATTGATAAAGCCCAGTTTCAGTAAGATCCAGATGCTGTAACCATCGGGAGAACAATTTTTCTTTAGGTTTTTTTAAGTTGTTTCACCGTCAGGGCTTTATCCTTGGCTTTCTTTTCATATCCTTCCTTTTCTTTTTCATATTTTGCTGCAATAGTTGGTTCTTCTTCTGTTTTGAGTTTATGTTGTTTCACTAATTTTATCATCCAACCTTTTCCAATCAAACCGAGAGACCTCCCACCACAACGGTGGAATTATTGATGACTTTAGCTTTTTCTTGTTTTGAATCCCACATACCGGAATTATTATTATTATTATTATTATTATTATTATTATTATTATTATTATTTCCTTTGATTTCTGACTTCTTTTTTAAGGTCAAAAATGGCTTCATGACATTTTTGTATACTCACTTCTTTCCGAGTTCCAGTCAGAGCTTTATTTTTTTAAGGTCAGAAATAGTTTTATGACATTTTCCACTGAGCATTTTTGTAAAAGATTTTACATAGATAAAGTTCTTCGTATTGTGATTGAGTTGTATACTCACTTCTTTGTCAGAGTACATTTTTTTGTATTTCCACTTTAAGGTAAATGATTTTACATAGGAATTCTTTCAATGAGTCTATCTAGACATTTTCAAATCAATCCGAGGGCTCCAACTACAATTGAAATTATTGATGTCCTCCTGTGCTACATTATTTAGATTTCCACGTTAAGATCCTTGTATTTTTAGTAGTTTTTCCGAAGATCTTCAAAGATACATTACAAACTGCAGGAACTGCCATGTCAATAAGAAGACACATTCTGTTTTTGTAGTCTTTGATCAAAATGTCTTGGTGATTAGCTTTGATTGTTCTGCCTGTGTGTATTGTAAAGACCCATAAAATTGTTACCAGTCCTATCTCTGTGATCGGATCTGGGTGATGTTCATACCAGTTTCTTGCATTTTTCTGCAAAGAAATTCCTTCACTGAGTCTATTGGAATCTTTTCCAAATCAATCTGAGGGCTCCAACTACAACAGGAATTGTCGATGTTCTCATGTGTCACATTCTTGAGATTTCGATTTCAACGTTCTTGTATATTGATCTTAAAAGATACATTACAGTCTGTAGGGACTGGTATGTCAATAAGAAGGCACATTTTATATTTGCGATCTCTGGACGATTAGCTTTGATTGTTCTGTTTGTTTGTATTGTAAAGTCCCATAAAATTGTTACAGGTCCTATCTCCGTAACCGGGTCTGGGTGGTGTTCATTTACTGGTCCAATCTGTCATGCCGAGTTTTACATTCAGTATTATTATTACTATCCGAAGTACCAGGGTGTACATAGCTTCAATTGTATAACTGCCCCCCCCTGTATACCCGCACCCCCTATCTAGAAATGTCTACCTGTTTCTTCACTTGCATGCATCATCCGTTGGTATACTAAGCTACTCCCCACTCATCGTTTTACGGTATGTCTTTCGCAAGCGTTTGATTGTTCTTAATAAAGGAATTCCATCGATAAAACCTTCTTGTGCGATCGTTGCTTGGGGTTATATTGTTTCAAGGTTTTAGATATTCAGTAAATTTTCTATGACCGTAATAACTTTCAAATAGTATGGCATTGTCCACAAATCTAATAATCAAACAAAAACAGTGATGAAGCGTCAGAGCTTGATTCAAATGCAAGTACAAACGCAAGAGCGTCCCCTCCTTCTTCGTATGTTTACGCTAAAGCTGGGGTTAACAAGAGGTTCTTCGGGAAATTTTCCCTTTAAACGTTTCAATAATCCTTCTCATTGTATCAAAGGTTGTTCGAATGACAATTTAAGATGGAATCATTTGAAGAAACTATTGGCTAAATGACAAAGTCCGATGTTGGACCTAGTTTATCGCAAATTTCGTCCACTTAACTGAAATAATCTAAACCAAACCTTCTCGCAAGACAATCTGTGTCATATGTAATTTACATGGCAAATTGGTAAAGCATCGGATGAAAAAGCCACTTAGTTATGGCCGAAAAACTGTCTTTTTTAACAGTCTTTCGTGGTTTTTCGTTATACGCGACGAAGCGAGCAGGACTAAAACCACACTATCTTATTTCTTGCATGATGGCAAATTATTTGTGACATGTTTGAGGAAATCGGATGAAAAATGGGGATGTTATTCAGTTTTTTATTTTAAGTAGTACGAAAAACCCGATTTATTCACAGTTTTTGAAATTTTTGAGTGAAGCTAATGTCGCAGGAAAACTGTCAAGCACTCTACATAAACCTCGTAACATGAGCTGATGTTTTGCATTAATTTTGTTCGTGTGAAATTGGACTTTGGGCGGGTGGTGGTATCGTTTTGCGCATATGCAGATTTATTTAAGTATCAGTGAAAAAAATGATTTTTTTTAATATTATTTTCTGATTGAATTTCGTAGTTTTTGTCTAGTCGTCGCTGACGATTTGAGTTATGGTTTCTTTTGCTGATGGCCTTTTATGGAAATTGTATTCACTGAATAATGCCTAAGTTTGTAAAATATTTGGAAGGAAATGACGCCATAATTGATGTATAAGAGCCTATCATTTCGTTTTTCATTTTCTAGGAAATTTCAACGTTTTGTTCATCTAAAAGAGACCGGTATTATGGATAAGAGCACGATGAAACGAATGCAAACATCTCGGTGTGGAGTGTCTGATCCTATACTAAACACAAAATTAGCAAACTTTGATGCTTCAGGTAAATACACCTTTTCTACCCTACCGACATTATTTTGACAAATGCAGTCTGCGTTGAAGTTGGATAAGGTTGCTGCAGATTTCATTTTTCTTGACGAAGAAATATTTGCAATTCATATTATAGGAACATATCTGTGATGTCTGTCTATATTTCTGAGATGAGGTATTATGTACATTATTTACATTATTCGGACTATTGTCCTCGTCTTTGTCGCCATATTTATTACAACGTTTCGGCCGTTGTACACTCCGGCTTCTTCAGGTGGTTGAAATGTCGAACAACCCTTTATTTCACTTACTGGGATAGACTGTTCTAGTTCCACGTGCCATGTTTTAATGGATATCAATTATCAGTTATCTCCTGTTAATTTTTCTCTGAAAGTTCTCCACTGCTTTAACCAGCTATTGAACTCACAGTCTTTGGGTTCTGTCACTGGATCTAACCAACGCCTTTATCCACTGTGCCATGTGTCCTTGAGGACAGTCCTGAAGGACACAAAGAGGAAAGCTCATCAGAACAATTATGATGAAAATATCTATAGAAAAGGCACAGTGAAGCTATGTTAAGGCGATGCGAAAGAGATAGAAGCCAAGGTGTTTAGGTCAGTTGCAAATTCTTCTTCGTACTTTATTAAGAATATCTAATTACATAAGAGAAGTACCAGGCCCGACGTGACAGTAATATTCCACGCAGGGACGAAACTTAGAAATGTGTAAGAGATTCTAGAGAGAGAGATTCTAGAGAGAGATATATTCTAGAGAGGAAGAGAGAGAGAGAAAGAAGAGAGAGAGAGAGAGAGAGATTGCCTTGCATGACAAAGGGAACCGACATTCATAGCAAGATATGGGAAAGAATTCTATTAAGTTTCGAAACGTGTCAAATTAAGCTACAGGAGAGTGTATATATATATATATATATATATATATATATATATATATATATATATATATATATATGTGTGTGTGTGTGTGTGTGTGTGTGTGTGTGTGTGTGTGTGTGTGTGTGTGTGTGTGTGTTGTTTTGGACAATAAAAATTAAAATTTTCAAACCCACTGGGTTGTATATTAATATTTTTGTTTCATTATTCATTCAATTAGGTTCCTCAACTAGTTTCGGCCAACATGGCCATCATCAGGAGAAAAAAATCTCTGCTTGTTAGTAGCAGTGAACTACAGGAGTGAACGACATTTCTGAAGAAAGTGAACTTTGTAGTTTTCATTTGTTTTTTGTTTTCGTTTTTTATCGTTAATTTGGGTGAGTCCTTGTGATGTTCAAACGGCCACTTTCAAGTTGTCTTTAAGATAGAGGATAGGAGATTCTTCAATTTAAGAATTACATCCTTGGTCGTTTTAACAGCTTTGTTGGTTGCTGGGAATGCAATGTGTGTGTGTATGTTGTATGTTCACACAGGACACACACACACACACACACACACACATATAATGATTTTCTTTGTAATTCGACTTTTTTTTATTATTTCACGTGTTATTGTAAGGATACATCGTATTTGAAATAGACGCCCAATATTTATTAAACAGTGTATATGACGTTAGTCGGCCTGTGCATTCGATAAAACTTAATAAAAATAAAAAATAGTAAAAAATAAAATTAGTAAACAAACAAATATGGGACATGTATTTTAAATATGATATATCAACTATAACGTTTGAAGTAATATATATATATATATATATATATATATATATAACAAAATATATATATCCAAAATATGGCACAGCATGATGATACACTTCAGTGTCAATGGTATATCTAATGGTATAGATATAAGAGTGGAAAATCTTCATGCCATATATATATATATATATATATATATATATGGTTGAATGGATATGAGTTTGTGACCGTCGATTTACGCGATCCTCAGACAAACTGATTTATTTTTTTAAATTTGAGTCTATTTGTGTAAGTTTTTGTTTGATTATGTTTAGTTTGGAAGGGTGAAATTCTCCTCTGTGTCCATTTTACGGGGTGACGCTCATACGTACGAAGGCATACAGACAGACGGACACAGAGGAGAATGCCCTCCCATCAACACCAAATATAATCAAGTAAAAATAGATAGTCTCAAATTTTGAAAAGTAAATCAGTTTGTCTGAGGATCGCATAAGTGTGAAACCGACGATCACAAATTCATATCCGTTCAACTAAATATTTTAGCTCTATCACTGATATTGAGCGCTTTCCAATAAGCACCGCACATATATAAAAATATATAGAGAGAATTTATATACGTACTTGACTGAAATATTTGCTTCAATTGAGGCTATTACCACAATCAGAAAGCACCTATCTTCCAGCAAATCTTTTAACAATTATATCTGGCCTATTGGCTTTTAGTGTTCCGTCTGTTTGGACATTTTCGCGAGATGTTAAAGAATATGTTTTGCCTCAGCAACAAATCATTATTATTATTTATTTCCTTTCATTTCTGGTGTATACTCATTTTTCCGGGTTTCAACCAGCGATCTAAGGCCGGAGATGGCATCATGATATTTTCCACTAGGTATTTTTTGAGGAAAAAATTATTATTATTATTATTATTATTATTATTGCAGATGGTAGCAAATGGTCCAAAAAGAAATTAACATACAGAATTATAAACTACACACCAGATCTCCCGAATACGGTTGTCAGGTAAGTAAATAACGTTGTGCAGATTTTAAGGATTTTATATCGAACCACAACCAAACAAGGCTCATCAAATTATTTCAGCGCTTCTTGCAAGAAACTTAGTAAAAATTATTTTATTAACTGAAGCTTATGAGTAACTGTTATGGGGTCCACCCCTTTTTCATATAAGTGGACTCTACCAGTGTACCTGGACTGCTGCCGTTAAATACCCAGAGTTAGACAGTGAGAGTAGTCGGATAGTGAGAGGGGTAGTCGGAAAGAGAGAGAGAATATACAAACGGAGAGAGTGTGAGGTAGCCTCTTGTAGAAGTCAGTTACAAGCACGTAGACTCTAAGGAAGTCCTACTTCGAGACTGTATATATCTATCTGTATTTGCTACTAACCGTGTTCCTGGATTTACTAACCGTATTACCCTTTGTATGATTGTGTAAATACATTTTATTTCTTATATTTAATTATTGCGTTTGTTCTTCATTGGAGACCGAATTCATCTCGGAATCCACAACAGTAACAAAGTTGTCTGACAGAAAAATATAACAAAACACCAGGGAAAATTCGCATTTCAAATGATTACGTTTTCTAATATCGGATAAATTGTCAAAATATTACCATAATGAAAACGATTACCAAGGAATTTAGACAACATTTTACATAGTTAAAATGATTCCGAATGTTTTTCAATGACCAAAATATTTACCAATTATTTTTCAAAGGAAAAATAACTACTGATGCGTTACCATAGCCAAAATCATTGACAACGATTTTTCATAGAAAAATAATTACGAAAGATTTTTTCTTAATCAAAATCATTGCCAATGTTTTTTCATAGTCAAAATCATTACAAATGCTTTTCCATCGTCAACATCATTGCCAATGCTTTTCCATTGTCAATATCAGTTTAATGCTTTTCCATAATTAAAATATTATCAGTGATTATCCATAATCAGAATCATTGCCAGTGCTTTTCCATAATCAAAATCATCGCCAATGCATTTCCATAGAAAATAATTCCCAAAAAATCATTGCCAATGCTTTTTCCATATTCAAAATCATTTTTTCCATATTCAAAATCATTGCCAGTGTTTTTCCATATTTCCAAAATCAAAATTGCCAATGCTTTTCAATAATCAAAATCATTACCAGTGCTTTTCATATCAAAATCATTGCCAAGCTTTTTCAATAATCAAATCATTACCAATGCTTTTCCATAATCATAGTCATTGCCAATGCTTTTCCATAATCAAAATCATTGCCAATGCTTTTCAATAATCAAAATCATTACCAGTGCTTTTCCATAATCATAATCAAAATCAAAATCATTGCCAATGCTTTTCAATAATCAAAATCATTACCAGTGCTTTTCCATAATCATAGTCATTGCCAATGCTTTTCCATAATCAAAATCATTGCCAATGCTTTTCAATAATCAAAATCAGTGCTTTTTACCAGTGCTTTTCCATAATCAAAATCATTGCCAATGCTTTCAATAATCAAAATCATTACCAGTGCTTTTCCATAATCAAAATCATTGCCAATGCTTTTCCATAATCAAAAATTGCCAATGCTTTTCAATAATTACCAGTGCTTTTCCATAATCATAGTCATTGCCAATGCTTTTCCATAATCAAAATCATTGCCAATGCTTTTCAATAATCAAAATCATTACCAGTGCTTTTCCATAATCAAAGTCATTGCCAATGCTTTTCCATAATCAAAATCATTGCCAATCTTTTCAATAATCAAAATCATTACCAGTGCTTTTCCATAATCATAGTCATTGCCAATGCTTTTCCATAATTCATTGCCAATGCTTTCAATAATCAAAAATTCTTTTCCATAAATAGTCATTGCCAATGCTTTTTCCATAATCAAAATCATTGCCAATGCTTTTCAATAATCAAAATCATTACCAGTGCTTTTCCATAATCATAGTCATTGCCAATGCTTTTCCATAATCAAAATCATTGCCAATGCTTTTCAATAATCAAAATCATTACCAGTGCTTTTCCATAATCATAGTCATTGCCAATGCTTTTCCATAATCAAAATCATTGCCAATGCTTTTCAATAATCAAAATCATTGCCAATGCTTTTCCATAATCAAAGTCATTGCCAATGCTTTTCCATAATCAAAATCATTGCCATGCTTTTTTCAATAATCAAAATCATTACCAGTGCTTTTCCATAATCATAGTCATTGCCAATGTTTTTCCATAATCAAAATCATTGCCAATGCTTTTCAATTCAAAATCATTACCAGTGCTTTTCCATAATCATAGTCATTGCCAATGCTTTTCCATAATCAAAATCATTGCCAATGCTTTTCAATAATCAAAATCATTACCCAGTCATTGCCAATGCTTTTTCCATAATGCTTTTCATAATCAAAATCATTACCAGTGCTTTTCCATAATCATAATCATTGCTTTTTTTCCATAATCAAAATCATTGCCAATGCTTTTCAATAATCAAAATCATTACCAGTGCTTTTCCATAATCATAGTCATTGCCAATGCTTTTCCATAATCAAAATCATTGCCAATGCTTTTCAATAATCAAAATCATTACCAGTGCTTTTCCATAATCATAGTCATTGCCAATGCTTTTCCATAATCAAAATCATTGCCAATGCTTTTCAATAATCAAAATCATTAGTGCTTTTCCATAATCAAAATCATTGCCAATGCTTTCCATAATCAAAATGCAATTTTCAATAATCAAAAATACCAGTGCTTTTTAATCATAGTCATTGCCAATGCTTTTCCATAATCAAAATCAAATGCTTTTCAATAATCAAAATCATTACCAGTGCTTTTCCATTGCTTTTCCATATTCAAAATCATTGCCAATGCTTATCCATAATCAAATTCATTACCAGTGCTTTTCCATAATCATAATGCCAATGCTTTTCCATAATCAAAATCAAAATCAAAATCATTACCAGTGCTTTTTAGTCATTGCCAATGCTTTTCCCAAAATCATAGCTTTTCAAAATCATAATCATAGTCATTGCTAATGCTTTTCCATAATCAAAATCATTGCCAATGCTTTTCCATAATCAAAAAAATGCATAATTTTTCATAATCAAAATTGCTTTTCCATGCCAATGATCAAAATCATTGTCAAAACCAATGCTTTTCCATAATCATAGTCATTGCCAATGCTTTTTTCCATAATCAAAATCATTCCAAAAATTGCTTTTCCATAATCAAATCATTGCCAACGGTTTTCCAACAAATCAAAATCATTGCCAATGCTTATCCATAATCAAATTCATTTCTTTTCCATAATGAAAATAATCAAAAATTTTATTGCCATAGACAAAAATGTTTTCAATTGAAAACATACCAATGCTTTTCCATTATCAAAATCATAGCCAACGGTTTTCCACAATCAGAATCATTGCCAATGCTTTCCCATAATCAAAATTATTGCCAATGCAATTACATAGTCAAAAACAGCCGGCAATTTTCTTAATCAAAATAATTGCCAATGCATTTCCATATTCAAAATCATTGCCAATGCTTTTCCATAATAAAAATCATTACCAGTGCTTTTCAATAATTAGAATCATTGCCAATGCTTTTCCATAATGAATATTGCCCATGCAATTCCATAGTAAAAAACACCAGTAATTTTCTTAATCAAAATAAGTGCCAATTCTTTTCCATAGATAAAATCATTGCCAATGCTTTACCAAATTGAAAATCATTAACAATGCTTTTCCAGAATCAAAATCATAGCCATGGTTTTTCCATAGTAAAATCATTGCCAATCCTTTTCCATAACCAGAATCATTGCCAAAGCTTTTCCATTATCAAAATCATTGCTAATGCTTTTCCATAATCAAAATCATTGCCAATGCTGTTCCATAATCAAAATAATTACCAGTGCTTTTCCATTATGAAAATCATAGCCATGGTTTTTCCATTGTCGCAATCATTGCCAATGCTTTTCCATAGCCAAAATCATTGACAATGCTTTTCCATAATCAAAATATTACAAGTGCTTTCCCATAATCATAATCATTGTCAATGTTTTTCTATAATCACAATATTACTAATCCATTTTCATTTCGTTTGCAACTTAATTACTGACGCATTGGATTCCCAACCTGCGACTACCGATTTTTCAATTCTCCATTATCCCAGTCCATTGTCCCTACTAATTCTTCCCGATTAACAAGCTTATTTTAATACTGTCTCATATCAATCCTGTCTTTTCCTATATCTTTCATAAGCAATCCTTTTCTACAAAAATCAATCAAAACGAATTTCTGTCTAAAATGATTTCTTTTCATAATTTCATAGTCCACGTTTTGTTTTCTTTTAGGGAAACGGTGGCAAAAGCTTTTAAATTTTGGTCAGATGCTTCTCAACTGACATTCACTGAAGTCTTGGAAGGGCCCTCGGATTTAAAAGTGAGATTTTCGGCTACAATACATGGCGATGGTGCAGATTTTGATGGACCAGGTAAAATACTGGGTTTTACGTTATAATTAACAATTATTCACATCTCGACCTCTTCCTACGACTATGTTGTCACTGTCAAAAACACTCTAGAGATTATCACCCACGTAGCTCCACTCTTATTAGTTTGAAAAAGAACACTCTAGGAGCTATCATCTACGTGGCACCTCCCCTATTAGGCGATCAAGGAACACCCTAGGAGTTATCACCTACGTGGCACCGCTCTTATTAGGCGGACAAGGAACACCCTAGGAGTTATCACCTACGTGGCACCTCTATATTAGGCGGACAAGGAACACCCTAGGAGTTATCACCTACGTGGCACCTCTCTTATTAGGCGGACAAAGAACACCCTAGGAGTTATCATCTACGTGGCACCTCTCTTATTAGGCGGACAAGGAACACCCTAGGAGTTATCATCTACGTGGCACCTCTCTTATTAGGCGTACAAGGAACACCCTAGGAGTTATCACCTACGTGGCACCTCTCTTATTAGGCGGACAAGGAACACCCTAGGAGTTATCATCCACGTGGCACCTCTCTTATTAGGCGGACAAGGAACACCCTAGGAGTTATCATCCACGTGGTACCTCTCTTATTAGGCGGACAAGGAACACCCTAGGAGTTATCATCCACGTGGCACCTCTCTTATTAGGCGGACAAGGAACACCCTAGGAGTTATCATCTACGTGGCACCGCCCCTATTAGGCGAACAAGGAACACTAGGAATTATCACCTGCGTAGCACTTCTACTAGGCTGATAAGGAATAATCTAGGAGCTATCACAGAGAGAGCAGCTCGCTTAAAAGGCTGTTAAGCAACACTAGGAACTCACACCGACGAAGCACCTCTCCTATTATCATAACAAGAAAAGATCTAGGGAGTACAACGTATGTAGCACCTCTCCTATTGTACTGTCAACAAACACACTAGGAACTATCACCGACAAATCACCTCTTCTGTTAGGCTGACGGAATACTCCATGGGCTACCATCCACTTAGCACCTCTCCTATTAGGCTGACAAGGAATAATATAGGGGCTATAACCTACGTAACACCTCTCCCATTAGTCTGTCGATAAACACTAGGAGCTATCACCTACGAAACCACTCTCCTATTAGGCTAAGAGGACACTCCAGGGCTGTCGTCTACGTAGCACCTCTCCTATTAGGCTGACAATGTAAACTCTAGGAGCTATCACCTACGTAGCACCTGTCCTATTCGGTTGGCAAGGGACACTCTAGGAGCTCTCCCCTACATAGCACCTCTTGTATTAAGCTGACAAGGGACACTCTAGGAGCGATCACCTACTTTGCACCTCTCCAATGTTACTTATGAAGCCTAGCATTCTGGCATGTAACGATAGTCTCGAATATTCTCTCAACACGATCCCATCTTGATGAGAAAAAATCAAACAAAATTCTTTCATTCTTTCTGCTTCATTCTCCTTAAAATTAAACTATAACTGTTCTTTTTCTTTCCTTTTCTCCTTTCCCCTTTTCTCTCTTCTCTTTCTACCCTCTCTCTCTCTGTTCTCAACTTTTCTCTCTCCCTTCTGCTTTCTCTGTCTCTTCTCACACAAGAAAAAAAATCAATACTTATTTTATCAATTTATGATTTCAAACATCATGAAATCTTTTTTCTCTACTCTCTCTCTCTCTTCTTTCTTCTCTCTTCTCCATCCCTCTTCTCTCTCCCTTTCTCTCTCCCTCTTCCTTATCTTTCTGCGTTCTGTCTTTACTTTTCTCTCTCTCTCTATTACTCTTCCCTCATTCTCCTCTCTCTTCTGCCTCCTCCTCCTCTCTATCTTGTTGTCTCTCTCTTCTCTCCCTTCTCTCTCCTCCCGCTTTCTGTTCTCTTTCTCTTCTCTCGCTTATCCCCCTTTCCTTCACTGATTCTCTTCTCTCTCTCATCCATCCTTTTACCTCTCCCACTTCTCCCTCTTCTATCTCCCTCTCCTCTCTCTCTCTCTCTGTTCACTCTTGTCCCCCTTATCTTATATTGTTTTTTTTCCCTTTCCTACAGGTAAAGTCCTAGCTCATGCTTTTTTTCCTGAATCTGGTGAGATTCACATGGACGAAGCTGAAACCTGGACTGTCAAATCGATATCAGGAGTCAATTTACTCTTTGTACTGGTTCACGAAATCGGCCACGCCCTTGGTCTTGGTCATTCTGACATCAACGATGCAGTCATGGCGCCTATATACACTGCATACGAACCAAATCTTGCACTCCATAAAGATGACATCGAAGGCATTCAATATTTATATGGTAAGATAGATTGCTCATGGGAACCAATTGTAAAATTTATTCAAACATATATTTATATAATAAACAAACAACATATTCAAAACTTATCTTCTGGAATTTCATTTTTGCAGATAATATTCGCTTATCAGTAGGCGAGATCCCTTTGATGAGCGGATACGATCCGCGAAACTCTGAATCGAAAAGATAAGTTTGTAGTAAATATTAAAACCATAGTCATTGCAACACAAATAAACAAAACACACAGGGTGCCAAAAGGTGGCTTTTCTCCTTGACACCGCTATTATTATCACTACCATCACTTGTCAGTAATGTTTATCACGTCTACTTAATGTCGTATTTGGGGTTTCTGTTCAATGTGTCACTCACTCACTCACAGAGATATAATCTGACAAAACACACACGCACGCACGCACGCATATATATATATATATATATATATATATATATATATATAAACATTAATGACAATAGAAAAACTGTAATAGTTTCCGACGCCTTTCGTCCAATGTGGACTTTGTCAAGGCAAAAAACGAAATGAATTTATTTAAACAAAGTAACTAATAATAACAAAAACAAAATGTCCTTAGTAACTGGAAGAATTTAGGGAACGCTATTTTCATACTCTTAACTTAAAATTACGTCAATTACTGTCACGTGTGGAGATATTGTTATTATTTGTTTTCATATTGTCATTTATATCTATAAATATTGTCTTTTCTACAGGTTAACTCTGAGAAATTTTCATATATATATATATATATATATATATATTACCTTTACTATATATACATATATATATATATATAGTAAAGGTAATAAATCCGTTGGTATATAATACAAGTGGATCCTAGTAATATAAAAAAAACTGATCCACAAAAAAGAGCTCAGAGCAAAAATTAATACCCAATAAAATCCTAAATCACCCCATATGGGGAATAAGGTTATTTCGACCGACGAAAATATAATTCGTCAGTCTTATTCAACCCCGGTATAAACTGAGATTTCCGACATGAACTAAGTCTATACTTAAATTGATAAGCCTATACCTCGGTATGCACTGAGCAAATTTAACTGTGAAAGCTATTAAAAATAACGTCAAAAAATTAATATAGAATTTATCCATTTCAATGTTTCAGTCAGATGAAAGTTACGAGACAGGAGTCAGGGGAGGGTGGAAGGTATTTGTCTTAATGTGGAGAGGTTTTATAAAATTAAACCCGTATATTAACATTATGACATTAAATTGCGGTTATATGAAGAATGAAATGTTAAATTAAAAATAAGAGAGGAATAAAAAGTGGTTTACAACCCTTTAAAATGTATAGATAAAGCTATATTTAAATATACAAAGTTATATTTAAAAGTACAAAGTCATATTCCAAAAACAAGTTATATTTAAAAATAAGATATAATTAAATAAGTTATATTTAAAAAATAAGTCATATTTAAATAATTTATATTTAAAAATAAAATAAATAGGCTATATTTAAAATAAAATTATATTTAAAAATAAGAATATAATATAATAAAATAAATTATATATTTAAAAATAAAAATAAATAAAAACTTATATTTAAATAAGTTATAGCTAAAACAAGTTATATTTAAAAATATAACGTTATACTTAAAAATACAAAGTTATACTGAAAAATACAATGTTATACTAAAAATACAAAGTTACATCACAAAACAACCTTAAAATATATAGATAAAGTGATGTAAGTGATAAAAGAAAGAGAGTTCTTAGAACAGGTGACAAATTAAAAGATAAAATGAATATAGTATAAACATGGCAATAGAGAAATTTGAATTATTTATACTTTCGAAATTGGAAGAGTTAGAGAAATATAGTAGCTAATTAAGTAAAACCTATATTATGGAAATTTGAATTTGTTTTTATGTCGACATTTTAATTGTAATTCATTCCTCTGATTCAATACTTGGCTTTGATTATTCTATTTTATTATTCTATTTTTTCTTCTAAACATAAGTTACACCAATCTCTAAGACTATTAGGAGTATGTGCGGAACCTATAATCTTCCAAAACTATCTGTGGATTCAGACCTTTCGCCTTCAATTTCCAAAATTTCTTTGAAAGAGCCATCTGGTGTTTTGTTTAAGGTTATAAACGAGTGCCTATGGGTATAAAATCTTTGTTTCCATTTACCCGCGGAAATTCTAATGTAAACATTATAATTTCTCATATTTTCTTTGAAAGGAATGGTTGATTGAAATATAACCATGGTAGATCTGCTTTTGCCCTCTACTGGACAATTTTCTTTAGATCTACAATTACAGGATAGTTCAATACCAGGTTTGTTGCTTATCCCATAGAAACTACTTAAAATATGGTTATTATGTGATTTGATAATTTTATACATGTGGTTGGTACAGGAGTAGCTAATTTTAATCGTTTTCCTATTGAAGATCTTACTTAGAGGGTTGTTTTTATGAAAGTGTTTATTTATTAACTTTAGAAAATACTGTCCGATATTAATATTTGACAGCGTGCAGCAGCGGGGGTTGAACCATATAATTATTCCTTTTCTGTGTCTACATTTCACTAAAGATATTTTATTTAGATATTTCAATTTAGATATTGATCAGTTACTTATGTTACTTATATATGTAAAGAGACAGACAGAGAGACTAAGGTAGATATTTCTATAAACAGGATGGAATAGATAATTATGAACAGATAGATAGATATGGACAGACCGAGATAGATATGAACAGACCGATATAGATAGATAGATGGAAACAGGCTATATATATATATATATATATATATATATATATGAAGAAAAATATACTGAAAAAAACAAACAAAAATCCTAATATGCGATTATGCTGTTTTAATGTTTAATGTCAACGTCGGACGTTTCGGTCTAATTGACCATCTTCAGGACATATTCATAAAATATAATTAACATAGACCATATACAATTCAACATGAAAAAGACGATGGACATAAAAGCAATACCAATCCAAACAAATAACTGAAATCTTTTATCAGATCAGCGTTCCGTTTAAATATGATCACGTCGTCGCCACGTGGGCGATGTTGTGAAAACGTATTCCTAAAATTTGAGTATTTTGAATGAAAAACGAAAAGAATTTTATTTTGATCTAAAACTTATATGTACGTTTGTCGAGCATTAATCTTGCTAAAAAAGGGGAAATATTAAAGAAGCCAGGTCCTGAAGATGGTCTATTAGACCGAAACGTCCGACGTTGACATTAAACATTAAAACAGCAGAATCGCATATTAGGATTTTGTTTGTTTTTTCAGTATATTTTTCTTCATACTGTCGGATCTATATCCATATATTTGCTTATATATATATATATATATATATATATATATATATATATATATATATATATATATATATAGCGCATTTCATTGAAAAAGACAGACAAGGTGCTTTTATTTTTTTTTTTATACAATTTCTCATGCGATCTAATAATTTTTTTTTCTTTTCGGATGATAAATTATATAAAAACTGTCCGAATGTTCCGAGCGCTTTCGGCTATATTTATGTTTTCATTTTTTGTTTCAAAACACGGACAAAATATTATGTCCATGTTCAAAGTTGATATCTGTCTATATTTCTGAGATGAGATATTATGTACATTATTTACATTATTCGGACTATTGTTCTCATCTTTGTCGCCATATTTATTACAACGTTTCGGCCGTTTTACGCTCTGGCCTTGTTCATGTTGTTGGAATGTCAATCTGAACGCTTTATTTCGCTCACTGGGGTAGACTGTTCTAGTTCCACGTGTCATGTTTTAATGGATGTCAGTTATCAGTTATCCCCGGTTAATTTTCCCTCTGCAGTGGAAAACTTTCAGAGGGAAAATTAACAGGAGATAACTGATAAGTGACATCCAAATATTTAGGGATTCTTGAAAAATCAAAAGAATCTGCAATGTTATTGATCCTGACTTGGCATCACGGTTTCAGTCACTTTCTCATCGCCGTGACTAGCTTCCCTGTTTCTTTTCTAATACTTTCGTAGTAATTTTTCTGATGAACTTTCCTCTATGATATGTAGACTTTATGAATTTAAGCGCAGTGCTAGATTGGCGGCAAGGTCTCATCATTTTACAGTTGTAATGGTTAAATGTAACCGCAAGTTCTATTCTAATAGTCTCTTCCCTCGCACTACTCGCTTGTGAAACTGTCTTCTGGCTTCTTGCTTCCCAGTCAACTTAGATCTTCAAACATTTATATACAATGCCAATCGTTATCATCTGTCTTCTTGATTTTTGTTCTTTTATTGTCCTCTCTCCTTAATCGTATATTTTTCTCATATTCTCTTACTCTCAGTAACCCCTTATGTCTTAGTGGTTGAATTGCCTTGCTTAGGGTGAACTGATAAAAAACTGCAAAAACTTTTGAACAGCAACCATTCTTTGCTGCTTGTCAGCATTCTGATCAATACAATAAGTATACGCTAACTGCAGGCATTATCATGGCTCAGCTGAAACTTTATACGGTATTTTGCATTAAGAGAATTACGTTATTTGAACTCATTCTCATTCAAAAAAGTGGTTAGCTTGCCAATAAGCTCAGTTTCTTCTTCCTTTTTTCTTCATTTGACTGAAACATCTCACTGGGCTTATATCAACTGCAACCTTTCTATTATCTATTATCTATTCGATAACTTTCTGTGAACGTTTTCATCATTTTCTCTTCTCCAAAAAAGAAATTTTAGCACATCTTTTTGTTTTCTACGTATGCCAAGAGGCGTAGCCATTTTGAAAGGGGATTATAGGTATAAAAAGAGAAAGTAACTCTATAGATTATCCCATAGGCACTTTATGGTTTATACCAAGTAAAAAAAAATGAATAAAAACATAAGAAACTAGGAATTATTGCTCATACTTTAAGAATTAAATCTGAACTGCTATTACCTTGTGATTGACTTCGGTACAGACTTGATTTATTTCAACTATCACTATTCAACGATTGATGATATTATTGTCTTGAAATTCAAGAAAACTTGCTATATTGTTTTCATCCTATCTTCGTCATGACATTTGTCGTTTAGAAAGTTATAAATTTAAATTAAATTTTGACGCGTTGATGGCATCATATAAATAAATATTACACATTGTTTTATATACGTGTATTTTTGTATTTTTATTGTAGGAAAACCAATAAGTGTAACACCGAAACCCACAACCAAAGCGCCGACCACCAAAGCACCAACCACTCAGGCTCCAACCACGAAAGCACCGACCACCAAAGCGCCGACCACTCAGGCTCCAACCACCAAAGCGCCGACCACTCAGGCTCCAACCACGAAAGCACTGACCACCAAATCGCCGACCACTCAGGCTCCAACCACCAAAGCGCCGACCACTCAGGCACCCACCACCAAAGCTCCAACTACACAGGCCCCCACCACCAAGGCGCCAACTACTCAGGCTCCTACCACCAAAACTCCGACTACCAAATCTCCTACCACTCAGGCTCCCACCACTCGTGCTCCGACTACAGTACCCACGACTACAAAATATTTACCGACGACTACACATCCAATACTTCCTAAACCGACACCACCCAAACGGAAATTCATTTGCCCTTTCAACTTCTGGGCCATCATGACAGGTAAATCACATTGTTCTTTTCTCTCCTCGCCAGAAAAGAATACGAGACTAATTGTCACGGTTTTTAATTTCGGTCTATAAACAATAAAGTTATTTTAGCTAGACTAACTGATGACTAATTTCACAGAAAGGAAAAAGTACATTATTTCTTTTGTCCATATTTATTAATAAAATAAGAACAAAATTGAAAAATGCAAAATAAAATTCCTTTCCGATGGAATATAAGACAGATTCTAATTTACAATTATAGTGCATAATGAACGGGTAGGGCCGTGGCCACCGATATAGATCCCTACTTTGAAAAAGGTATGAACCCATCTCTTCTGTCGTCCCGAGCTATGGGTTAAACACCAGATCAAACTCTCTAGCCGTGGTTGACAACCAGTGTAAGAGAAACCCAACGCTGAATTCAATGCCCAGCCACCTGAAGCTGTACAAAGATGGTCCGATATGTGGTGAAGATCACATTTAAAAAAAAAAAAACACGACAGATTTAAACAACTATGGATGATCCCACGGGAAAGCGATTATCCAGAATTTTTGTTGACCCTAACGAGCAAAGGTGTCATTGTCATTATAGTACACGTTGATCATTGCCAATTCGATATCATTGCGACCTACAGTTTGCAGGATAATGATCAATAATGATGGTTATGTTATAATACAACAGCTAAGACTCTTTACACTATTTATACTTTACACTATTTATACTTTACACCTTCATCTTTTTTGTTTTATCACAATGTTTCGACCGGCCTTGCTCGGGTGAATATCGATCTTGGTAACCTACGGGACAATGGCTTAGTGGTTAAAAACGTTGCTTTGTGAATTTGGTGACATAGTGGTTGTGAGTTCAATCCCTGTGTCGGGCAGTGTGTACTTGCACTCAGTGGAAAGGGGTGAACAATAAGTGAAGAGTGCTAAATGAAAATAAGAACTAGACGATGTCCCCAGACATGAGCAATTGGACGAGAACAGTCTACTCCCGTAGATTAAATAAAGTGTTCAATTCGTAATTCCCTGTAGGTGACTCAGATCGATAAGCACCTGAAGAAGATACCATAGAGGCGAGTTCATCAGAACAGTTACTATGAAAGTATTTATAGAAAAGGCACCCGGAAGCTACGTTACTTACTGAAGCCGAGATGCCAGGTCAGGACCAATGACATTACAGATTTGGATTTTATCAAATATCTCTAAATATATAGCAGGAATACAAAACCATATGTGGCAGCAATATTCTAAACATGTAAGAATGGGAGACTTATATATATATATATATCCAAGTAAGATGAGGACGAATAGAGTGCATTTAATTTAAAAGAGGGCTCAATACAAAGTAGACCAATATTATTTATTTTAGGATACTATATCAAAAACATGTTAAAGTAGCTACACAACTGCACTCGTGTTTTGCTGCGTATCAAAGACATCTCGTCGGAAGATTGTAAATTACTGGCGAGTGTACGATCTATTTAGATTTAAAACAAAATACAATCTCTTTTCCGAAAAAAAGTAGGGAGGTTATAAGGTTTGTGGGCTTTACTCAGATCAACCAATCGAATATGATCTACGTTAAATTTAAATTAAGCGAAGAAGCAAATTTAAGAAATTATTTTCCATAAATGGGTCATGACCCATAGATTGGCAATCAATGACAGCACAGACATTAAACAGGAGCGGGTGTTAATGAATACATTTTTACATACTAGATATACCCCCACCCATTTATATATATATATATATATGTGTGTGTGTGTGTGTGTGTATGTATGTATGTATATGTGTGTGTATTTAGGCAACAATTCTTCTTTCATGCACATTTCATTGAATACGTATAATAAAAATAAAATGAACACTCGGACAGTTTTTATATAATTTCTCATCTGAAAAAAAAAGTTATTAGATCGCATGAAAAATTGTATAAAAAACTAAATAAAAGCTCCTTGTTTGTCGTATTCAATGAAATGTGTATATATATATATATATATATATAGCGGGAGAGAGAGAGAGAGAGAGAGAGAGAGAGAGAGAGAGAGAGGGAACTAGATAGATATTTCTCTCGAATGCAAAAAACCGTAATCTTAGTAAATATAGTCTGTAAATTGTAAGAAAGTTGCATTGCATCAATTCTAGTTTCGAGTCATTCATCCTTTTTATCTCTCAATTAACAATTAAGTTTTATCGATAAATGCTTGTTTCATTTACTTCTGGTCCAGAATGAACAATGTCCAAACAGGGGGAAATATTAAACCTGGAAGACTGTAATCCGCCAATCTGTCGAGTGGAAAACGCTCTGTGTATCTTTAATATCATTATTTGAAATCTTATTTTTTGGCTGTGCTCGAACACCGATCACCGGCGTCAGCCTCTAAAGAAAGCCTTTGTTTTTTGTTTCATATATCAGGATGTAGTTGATGGTAGCTCTCTACAGCTTCCGTTTCTATAATATCTCTAAACTGAGTAACGTCTTATTCTAGGTAAAGATAGAGGAGTTACTTCGGTTTTAAATTTCAGCTTTGCTTCTTCTAGATTGTTTGCCATGAATGAAGACTAAAGAGTCCAGTTTGCCCTACTAGTTTACTTGTCACTGGGTGGAAATATGATTAATTCTTGCCTTTCCCAAGTGCATTAGTGCGAAATGAGTGCAATTTTGAACTCGGCTTGTCAATTATATTTCCGAGTCGTCTGTGTCGCCAATATATCTAAACGAGGTACATTTTTCTTCTTTAAGAAAGTACAAGATTTCTCTTCCTTGATTTTAAATCGTGTTGAACGGTAAACAAATTATTAAACAACACCCCCAAAACGAAGGTTACAATATAAGGAAGGGGAAATTGGCTGAAGCATTTTCATGAGCAAAAAAAAAAAACAAAAAACAAGTGGAGCTACTAGTTTAAATAATTAATGGAACTGGAAGGACCCGTAAAAAATCCCGATTTTCCTATTTGAATTTCCTCATCATTCTTAATTCTTCAGTTAATTATTGAATAAGCTCATGGCGAGTTCTACGACAATAAAATATCTGTAGAAATTCCCCTATCGTATCGTTAAATAATTGAGCTTAACAACTTTAACAAAATATTACAATAACAAGCAGAAATATGAATATTGGTCGTTACTTTAAGAAGTGGGTACAAATGAAACGGACTTTAAACACTTCTATCTCCCCTTCTTTCTTTCTTTCTTTCTTTCATTTTCTCATTGAAACCAAGTAGCGTCTCTGATATGTTTTTTGTTTTTCCACGCAATCAAAATGGAATAGTTAATTATATATGCTTTCTTTCTTTCTTTTTCTCACAGAAACCAAGTAGCGTCTCTGATATGTTTTTTTTGGGTTTCCACGCAATCAAAATAGAATAGTTAATTATATATGCTTTCTTTTTTCTTTCTTTTTCTCATTGAAACCAAGTAGCGTCTCTGATGTTTTTTGTTTTTCCACGCAATCAAAATGGAATAGTTAATTAGATATGCTTTCTTTCTTTCATTCTTTCTTTCTTTTTCTCACTGAAACCAAGTAGTGTCTTTTTCCCCTCTTTCCACACGATCAAAACGGCGTCGTCCATTATTTGTGAAGTATTGGTAAGACGTAACGATCGTGCTAACTAAGGAACTAACTAACGAAGGGGTGGGGGAGCAAGCACAATTATGTAGATAATAATTCATTCAATAATTGAAACAGAACTACTTTCAACAAAATAGAAAATGCCCAAGTATCTATGGACGGAGCTTGTGAGCAATCAGGATTTTTTTTTATGAAACTGTGAACTACAAGAAAACTGTTACAAAGAGAAGGACACGGCTGAAATTTCTGTGATACGTAATTCAAAAAAGGGCCTAGCATATTTGACACTTACAACGTATGCTGAAAGCCAAAAGAAGGGGAAAGAACAAGTCAACTATTTAACAAGTTTGTGTAAATAAAGGGCAATGCATTGACAAAGGGGGTAAGATGCCAAACGTTACTTAGAGCAATAGAATGTAGGAAGCTGTAGTGAGCCATTGTCGTCTATGTTTTTCATGAGAAAAATGTATATTCTCTGGATTTTGCAAATGACAAACTTCCATTATCACAAATTTACAATTCTTATTGTTATGTTCGACATTTCGGCAAAACCAACATTGTTCAACCAATAAACGGCATTTCGAAAAGGCCTTCCTACCGTAGTGCAAGATTAGCAAAACTCTTCGCGTAAACCAATTCAATAATGTAGTGAGTTCAATTTCGTAGACTCTCTCACAATTGTGATTTTATGCCAGACTAAACAAAATAGTGTTTTCGATCTCGTCAGGGAGCTCCTGATAATGACTTTTTGCCAAACTAAGTTGAGTAAATGAAGATACATCTCTAATTTTCAACCTAAATCGTTATTTTTAAAGAATATTTAATTAATCAAAATGCCTTCTTTTGTTTCAGCTGGTAAGAGAACATATGTTTTTCACAGATACACTGTATACCAAATTTTACCAAATGGCGGAATCATTATGAAAGGGTATATTCCGTACTTTTTCCCCAGAGGACCATACTTCGTAACTGCAGCTGCCTACAATAAAGTAACGAGACGAACCTTTTTGTTCAGAAGTAAGTTTCTATATATTTTTAAGCTTTCCGGGGTTATGAGAAAATACTGGACACTTTGACAAAGGCAATAAAGTATTTTGATCTATTCCTAACGATACAATGAATTTTTCTTCTAATAATTTCAAAATCATACTACTACCACAAATTTTCCTTCAAAGGCCATTCTTCAACATAAGCTGTATGTTTTTCTGTGAGTTTTTTTTATTTGCTCTAGAGCAATTTCAAATTATCCAACAGTTACCTCACATTTTTGCAACATGGCTTCTACTGATTGTCAGTTAAGATTTACAAGATGTGTGGGTAGCGTGACGATTATCGACGTCGAAAGTGGAATTCCGCGCCAGCTTATTGCTTTCACTTTCAAGGGCATGAAACTTTTTTTGTGAAAATAAACCCATGGCCATCGCGCAGACTTTTACCGACAAGACAACTTCGCCCAACGATGGATTTTAATTCCCGTTTCAGTCGTGTGAGCAAAAGCAGTTAAAAGCCAGGTGTACGTTCAACAAGGGGACGAAAATTGAAATAAAACCTCATCGAGAGAAGAAAATACGAATTTTTTCCAATGTATTGGCTTCTTTATTCACTGTTCGAATTTAGAGTCGAACCTAGTACTCGTTCTGGTGGTCTGTAGATGGTGGTCTGTAGATGTCACTTAGGTCCACTTCCTGTTATTGCTTATAAAGAGAGAATGCTATCGACGTGACTGTCTAACACTTTCGCCCCAGCCCCTCAACCTCCGGCATCTTACTCTCTGAGTTGAGGTGTCTACTCGGTCCTAACCGAACTTAAGGGAGTGGCCATATGTCCCCTGAGCATCCGTAGATTATTCGACCGGTCCGCTGGTTTAATCCTGCTTCCTACCCACGTTGTGATTTGTTTGATCCAGAACACAGAAGTGATGTCCGTCCATTCACGGTCGACTGAAGATGTAGACATGGCTGGGGAGTCTGCGCTAAGAAATTTAGAATGCAGCAAAAAAAAATAAATAAATAAATAATAATAATATCTGTAGAAAGCCGGACAAACAACTATCCAATGGTTGAATTGTTAATGTCTTTTATATAGCAGAAAAGAATAGTCGAGAAAAGAAACGGCTTACAGAAAAAAAAGTATTTAACGTAAAAACTCATACACTGGATTCTAGACAGAGAGAGAGAGAGAGGGGGGTATGTGATTAACTTGTTAAATCGTCTCAGAACGATATATGACTCTTGCGATGGAGGGAGAAAGATTTCTGTGCGGGGCTTAAAGTTACAGTGGCGTTCCTCCTCCCAACGCTCGCCTGGGCAAATTCTCTCTTCTCTCTTCAAGAATATTCTCCCGTCTGTCTTTTTTTTGCATAACTACGCGTTTATATAGATAAACCCGGCTGGTTATAACTCACCCTCGGCTCTACTACTTCGCACGCGATTATCACGGGGTTCTGGCTGCTTCAACCAAAATCATGTGAATTCCAAAGTTCCTTCTAGCTTACTCAGCTCTATTTCAATTTTTAATTATTTCGACCATTTCCATTGTCTACTGATGACCCAGATTCAATGGGTACAACTTCTGCCCTAGATCAGATTTCCCCATCAGTAAACAAAATGCTCTGATTTAATTTTCGCTATTCAAATCTACTCCAATTTAACTAAAAAAAATATACGTGTGCGTGTGTCTCTGTGTATGTGTCTGTGTTTCCCAGACCCCCCCTCTCTCTGTCTGTCACAGACTTGTTGGAAGGACATTTCCTCTTTAGACCCACGACTGGAATTCCCTAACCTCCAACCGAGTGGCACTTGATCCCAAAAGTTTTTAATTATTTAGCTATTTATTCCCTTTCTACTGAAGCCAGCGGATTGTTACTTTTAAAATCTCTCTTGTAGATTTTACTGTCTCCGCGCTCATGGAAATTTCAGCTCCAGATAAAATCATTAAGTGCAATTTAATCGTGTGAGTTCTCGGCCTATTCAAGTTGAAACCCAATGTATCACATATACCCAAACGTCTATATGATAAATAGCCTCTCTAGTCTTGAATGGTAACCAGTCTAAGAGAAAGAAATTACCGAATTCCAACCCGTGGAGAATGCAACGGAAAAAAAGAACTTTCCGTTGTCTTCTTTCCCGAAAAGTCATGACAATTCAAAGATAATATATCAGAGAAGACCCATCATCGCCTACGTCTTGAAGAAAGATGGCATTAAAAATGTGTTGTACAGTGGGCCGGTGCAAGGGTCTCGTAATCCCCCCACCACCACCGAACCCTACTTTATATATGTCATTGGATTTTTTGGAAGTCGTTTAGCCCAGTTGTACCACAAGCCAATCTCAGAAACAGATGACCGGTGACAATAAACCACGTTCCTTTCACACGTCCAGACAAGATGTGAACAAAATATGAAATCGGGGGTTCTTGAGTTTGTATACTAATTAGAATTTGAAATCTTCCTATACAGAAAAAATATCAAAAGCCGTGAAGAATGTTTTGTTTTTCTCTCTTCTTCATTCAGGATTCTTTGTCTACCGGTATACAGACCACTCGCTCGACCCTGGATTTCCAAAAAGGCTCAAGTATTATATCCGAGCTGCAGTTGTGGTTGATAATCAACTGATTGCTTTCTCGGTGAGTATACAATCAATACTTCAAAAAAGGTCGACATGTTTACTCGTTTCAATATATTTTACGCGTTGATTGTCCAGATCTCTCATTCTTTGTCGGTTTGTCTCTCACACACTCATTCACTCTCACTCAAAAAAACGCAGACATATTGTCATTTTTCTCGTCTGTCATTCTCTACACTATAGAACAGTTACACACATATGTATGTATATAGTATGTATGTTCACTAAAATATATATATATATATATATATATATTAGTCAATATACATATTATGTGTATTCACTAATATATACTTATAGCTCTGTTTCATAACATTGATTACTGTATTTATAACACTTGAGGAAGAAGTATATCTACAAGTACATGCAAGTATTTATACGTCAATGTACGTTTTTATCCTACCCATATATATATATATATATATATATATATATATATATATATATATATATATATGGGCGCGCTCGCATTCCGATCCCAGCGTACGGTACCTTTGGAAAGTGCCTGAAAACCATACCACAGATTGACCCAAGCCTCGTGAGTGAAACTGAAACGGAACCTTGGGGGCCGTTATGCTAGCACGAAGTCAGAAGGCATCGTGACCGAGGGTTTGAGCGTGCTGGCCTTGGTTAAATTTCTGATCACGCTAGATAACACGCTCTTTCCTAGAAACTGTAGCTTAGGTCTACTTAATATAGTTGCAGTATAAACTACAGAGCAAGCGTCTCCAATAGGGATTGGCTAGCCGCCCTAGTATTACTCGAATACGAGTGGCCAACTATTATGTATATATATATATATATATATATATATATATATATATATATATATATACAATGAAAATAAATATACATTAGTTAGTGCTAAACAAGTATATTTATTATTATTATATGTTTCAGCTGTGTTGTTATATATCGAGCACTATTTTATTGCCACCAGCACTCATTGAACGGTATATATATATTGAATATATATATATATATATATATATATATATATATATATGAAGAAATATACTCTTAAGATGTGCTATATTTATGGGATAAAGTGCTCAATATCAGAGATAGAGCGTATGTAAATAAATATAAAATTTAATAAGTCATCTCACAGGAAAAGAGACAAAGAGAAAAAAAAGGTAAAGATATAAGAAAGCAAATTTGGAAGCAGGAGTGGGAAAAAAAGCGGGAAAGAAGAAAAGGAAGAATAAAGTAACATATATAGGCATATTGCAGTTAATTTCAAAAACCTAGATTGATATAGTTTACAGTTAACGCTTGACATTAATTTAAAGATTACCAACAAAATAAAATAGGATAAAAGAAAAAATAATATAATGTGAATATAAAATAAACAAAAAAATAATAATATTAATACAACTAAAAAGTAAAAAATTAATAATTAAAACCTAAAATTTTAAATTCATAATTTAAAATTTAATTTTTAAAACATCTTAAAAAATTTTAAGTCGTATCGAAAAAAATATAATATAATCTGGAAAAACTTACCGAAATGAAACAAAATTTATAAATAATAATAATATTATAATATCGTAATAAAAATAAAAATAATATTAATAATAATAATTAGCGAAGAAGATGGCATACAACACCCCCAAATGAAGGAAAAAATAAGAAAAAAGTACTACAGGCGTGAACGTCTGGTACTAAATACTGAGCTAAACTCAAAAAACAGAATATCAGCCATAAACACATTGGCTGTCCCTGTAGTGCAATACAGCTTTAATGTCCTTAACTGGACCATAGCTGAAATTAAGCGAATGGACGCCAAAACGAGAAAGCTTCTCACTTGCTATCGCATGCATCATCCCAAAGCTGATGTTGATCGTCTGTATGTACCCAGATCCGAAGGAGGCAGAGGATTAGTTCAACTAGAACTGTCCTACAGAACTACAACAATTGGCCCCCAAAGATATTTGGAAACTACAGAAGACTGGATGATGGTATGCGTCAAGGAACATGAAAGTGGTAAGCGTCTTTACTTCGTAATAAAAGAAGCCAACAAATTCAAAATGGAATTTCAAATGGGCGTAGAGATGCAAGTATAGCACAATACACCGGCTGAAACTGCAAAATACTTAAAAAGCAAAGACGAATGCAACCGACCAGATACAGAAGCGATGGCAAGATAAACCGCTTCATGGCCAATACTCTGCCCGTACCAAACAAGTTGACGTAGACAAAACCCGTACCCATCAGTGGCTAAGTAGTGCAGGGTTGAAAGCTGAAACTGAAGGTTTTATCCTTGCTGCACAGGACCAATGCTTGCTAACTGGGAATTATCAAGCACATATACTAAAATATTGTGTCAGCCCAAAATGCAGATTCTGTGATAAATATCCAGAAACGATTGATCATCTTGTATCAGGTTGTACGGTGTTGGGAACCACTGAATATAAAACCCGACATGACAGAGTGGGCCAATATCTGCACTGGAAAATCTGCAACTTCTACGGGAAGGAAACTGAAAGAAACTGGTATGAACACCACCCAGACCCGGTTACGGAGATAGGGCCTGTTACAATTCTATGGGACTACACAATACACACTGACAGAACAATCAAAGCCAACCGCCCAGATATTGTTATTAAAGACCACAAACAAAAACTGTGCCTCCTTATTGATATGGAAGTCCCTGATGACTGCAATGTATCTTTGAAGATATTAAAAAAGCTGTCAAAATACAAGGACCTTGAAATAGAAATCTCGAAAATGTGGCATATGGGAACATCAACAATCCTTGTTGTAGTTGGAGCCCTAGTACTGGTTGGAAAAGATTGCAGTAGACTAATTGAAGGGATTCCTGGAAGTCCATACCTCAAGGAGATACAAAAAATTGTTCTGACAAGTACATCCCACACTTTACGAACGGTTTTATCTATATAATATTTTTTTTGTCAGTGGAAAGTGTCATGATGCCATTTCTAACCTTAGGTCCCTGGGCGGGACCCGGAAAGAAATGTGTAAACGCCAGAAATCAAAGAAAATAATAATAATAATAATAATAATAATAATAAACTAATCCTAACGGTAGAGTAATAATAATGAAACGTTAATATTAGATCAGTTATAACCCATTTAACCATATATATTCCTGCATATATGTACATATAAATGCACACACACACAAACATATACAAATACTTACACACACATATATAAATATACACATATATACACTCATACACACAAACACGTATATATATACATATATACATACATACACACGCATATGTACACATATATACAAACATACATATATACACATATACAAACATGCACGCATATACATCCACACATATATATAAACACACATATATATATATCCATACATATTCACACATATATACACTCACACACATCCATATATATACGTGTATGTATGTATCCACATATAGAAATACAAGCAAGTAGATACTCCCATATAAACGCCTATATACACACACACACATATATGTATACTTATAAATGCCATCTAATCACCAACACATATCAAGACAATTATAAGAACACATATCAAGACAATTATAAGAACACATATCAAGACATGTGCCAATATACAATTATCTTTACGCATATGCAGTATAACATAAACAATCAATCCTATATCTAGACACCATATGTTATTTCATATATATATATCAATTAGGAAAACTATTAGAAAATAAATGTAAGGTCTTTCGTAATTTGTTTAGCTTCATCAGAATTTTTTTCACAAATATTTCTGATGTAGCTAAATGACCTATTTGACTCTCATGCCATACTTCATCCATATCTTCATATATATATATATATATATATATATATATATATATATATATATATATATATATATATATATATATAGGGTGTATCAAAAATTCTATTAAAAACTTTGAGAACGGGTTCCTCACACCAAAACAATGACAAAAGTTCATACATATAGATGTCCACAGATCCTTTGTTTCGGAGTTAAGTTTAAAGAAAGTTTTCAGTAGATAGAGATGTGTTGCTATGTAGACTAGGTTACATTTGCCATTCGTGTACATTTGTGGTTAGTTTGTCTTCAACGTTTAACGTGTGAAATAGTGAGTTAACTGAGAAGTGTTTCGTTTAACAATGTCAGGGTATTCATATCATGAGCAGGCAGATATGATTTTTACATACGGCCGCGGAAATGGTAATGGACGCGAGGCTGCACGGTTGTATCAGATTGCATTTCCAACCTTTTCTGTTGTTTATCGCTGTGTTGCTGAAACAAGATCTGTGGCACCACAAACTATGGATCGAGGAAGACCGAGATCCTCCCGTATGTCTGACCACGAAGAACACATTCTACAGACTGTCGGAGATGATCCAGGTAGCATCAAGCGTCAAATGGCCCTAGTACGTCGTACAGGAACCCGCTCCCAAAGTTTGTAAAAATATTTTTCATACACCCTATATATTACTTTAAACATTATTCTGTTGGGTACATGGATTTGATTAAGCATCTCTTTTTTATACAGTGTAAATTTATATCTGCTTGTGGATTTAAGCTTCGTAGTAAAGAAAATGTGCCTTTCGACAGGATTTAAATCTGCCTTCCCCTTAAAAGGAAAATCACTGTCAAATCCGTTGTATATATATATATATGAAGAAATATACTCTTTAGGTGTGCTATATTTATGGGACAAAGTGCTCAATATCAGAGATAGAGTGTGTGTAAATATAAAAGTGAACATTGAAGTCAACACTTAGAGGCGAGAGGCTGTTTGATGCTAGACGCAATAAAACAGCTGTCGCCTCTAAGTGTTGACTTCAATGTTCACTTTTATATATATATATATATATATATATATATATATATATAGTTTCTTTTTATCCAAGTTTTCAGATAAAACGTTTAGCCATCTTGATACCATTTGTCATAAGAATCACCGAAAAATCCTTTGAGTTATTCAGTTAGAACAGGTTAAAATATTATTGTGTCTTGCCAACTGAGCAATGGTGGGAGAAAAAATATAATTCAGGCATTCAGTAATGGTACTAACATTCATAATCTGGCTTCCATCTTCAAAGTCCATTCAAGAACCATCAAGAGAATGGTGAAGAAGTTTAAAAAACGAGAGAATAGTGGAAAGGAAAACTGGATCAGGAGGTCACAATAAGAGATATCATCACTTCAACTTCGAGTGAAAGAGCTCAATTAGAAAAGATGCAACTCAATCCATAAGATGTTTGGCATGTGAGAGAGGTGTTTCAGCTACGACAGTCCAAAAAGAAGCGAAAAAAAAAAAGATTTGAAAAAGAAATCGTATGTGAAACCTGTGAGGCAACTTGTTGCTCCAGGACAGATAGTTAAAAGGTTAGAGAGTGCAGAGTCATCTTGAATAAGTTGGGAAATGATCCTCGAATAATACATATATATTTGAATTTTATTTCAATCCTTCATGAGGTCCCGATACTTAGCTATCATTAATTAATGATGAACATGTCATTTTTGTTTATGATCAAATTCGTCACGATTCTTCTGTTAAGCTTGAAGAGTAATTATACATTCTTATTGTTCAAAGTAGAGTTCAAGTAGAGTTATAAAAACCTCGGAGAATTCCATTAAGATATCTTTAATCATTTTTAAGACACGACGGTTCAACCCTTATTCTAACAATTGTACAATTTTGCTGTTACAACCGGTATTTATTATATACCGCGTGTAACAACAAATTATCCGGTGTTCAATGGGTAGATATCTCATTCGGGTCAAGCCGCCTGTCAGAGAAACAGCCATATGGAGAAATGATCAAGTTAAAATGATGATTAAAACTAACCGAATAATGGAGGTCACACAAGCAGGAAACAGTCTGTGTTGATTTGGGTGCCCATGCATACTATCTGTCCTTGATATGGAGCAATTGTATCCCATAAATATAGTACACATTAAAAATTATATCTATATCTATATCTATCTATCTATCTATCTATCTATCTATATATATATATATATATATATATATATATATATATAGAGAGAGAGAGAGAGAGAGAGAGAGAGTTAGTTAGTTAGATAGAAATAGATATAGATATATATAAGTGGGCACTGACGTCAACACCGAGTGGTGACAGTATGTTTAATGCGTGAACGATATCTTTCAGGCCATGTGTGTTGTCGACTATATATATATATATATATATATATATATATATATATATATATATATATATATATATGTGTGTGTGTGTGTGTGTCGCCGCTGGGTGTTGATCACGTTTTCAACTTTTATATTTACATATCCTCGATCACTGATATTGAGCATGTTTATATACTGGCAGCAACCTTTCTTTTATAGATGTTTCATTGAATGCGACGGGCAAGGAAAATTTTATTCTATTTTATAAAGATTTTTTATTCAGTTTTCCTTGTGTTGTGACAGTTTTTCTTTTATAACTAAGAGAGTAACTGTTCAGATTATTTTCCCAAGCGTTTTCGGCAAAACCCATTAGCCATTTTCAAGAGGTTCGTTGTTAGGATATTTTTTCTATGCTTCTATTCTAAGCTGTTTTCTATCGAAGTAGTAGTAATTCTATGCGGAAGTCCCTTCAAAACACACCTACCAAGTTTTAACTCGTTTCAAAGTAAGCGGTGTTGACTGTTGGCTTCATAAAAATAGCTTCCATTATCGTTAAACATCTTTCTCGATGAGATGTTTTTAAAATGACAGTATTATCTACAAGGATTTTTATTTTGTTATGTGAATGGGAAGTTGTGTAGGATTGTTTTAGTGGTTCTCTATTAAACTAAGATCGCGAGAATGAGTAGTCATTCTTCTACTTAAAGAGCCGGTTAATGTATCTATTTGATGTATTTTGTTTATTACAAGAATCACAGTCTTCTATCGGACAAAGAAATTGATTACGTTGGTAGTCTGAAGTTTAGATTTTATAAACATGTTGTATATCCATAAGATATATTTGATTAAATAATACGTTGTCATTTTATTATTAAAACGTAATTATTAAAATTAAAAAAATGATCCCTCGACAAATTATCCCTTAAATATCCCTTGTTAGTTTCTAATCTCACCGTAGGATCCTTTTTCTTCTTTGTTCTCTTTCAAGCTACGTTTAAAATCTTTGATTTTTTTTTAAAATATTGAATCAATATTGTTTTTCCTTTGCAGTTCACACATATTCATTATCTTAATGAAGACACGTTGGAAGACATTGTTGATGGTCAACTCAGCATCAAGGATGAATATCCGAACCTCCCAACACCTGTCAGATCTGCTGTCTCCTATGATGAGGGATACGCCTACATATTATATAGATATAAGTAAGTAGTCGCTTTTATGAGGGTAGATTACCTTTGTCAAAATTTTGCTCGCCTTGACATATGTTCTTTAGAAACGTGCGTATAGTAACAGGAGAGAATAAACGAAACAATTTGATTTCCATTAATTCACAAGGTTCGATCGCTTACTTATTCCGGGAGAATATCAGTCGTGGAATATCAGAGTTCGTTACAAAATAGTAATCGAGATGTGGAGAAAATCAGCACGCATATGTAGTCAAGTGTGAAAGAAATACTCCACGAATTATCGCATTACCTCTGCTGCTACCGATTTCGTCATTGAAAGCTTGCTGGAAGCACTTTGGTCTCGTTTTTGATGGCCTGGTTACGTTTACCTGTCGTGGGTGTCCGTCACTAATAACAGCTTGTTCGGGTCTGCCCTCGTGTATGAAATCAGCATTGGCTTTGTAGTGAATTAGTTGATCAGAAACGGATGCTGTGATGGTTTTAAGGTAAGTATCTGCGCGGTACCAGATAAAATTATGATATATGTGTGTCATATCAGCTGTGGGTACTTCGTTTGTTTTAAAGAACTCAGGGTACTATATATATCGGTTGTCTGTCTTATCAAACCCGGTGTAGACTGAGATGATTTTGGATTATATATATATATATATATATATATATATATATATAGGTAATAATCCGTTGGTATATAATCCAAGTGAATCCTAATAATATAAAACTGATTCACCCCCCAAAAAATCTAAATGTATTTATTATAACAGACCATATAAATTACATAGAATAGATCCAATATATATATATATATATATATATATATATATATATATATATAAAAAAGGCTTAAACACTAATATTCCATGGTCATAATTTATTCCATTGGCATCGTGAATACAATCCAATTCATCAGACCTACGAAAATTTGTCAAATTTTCTCAATTACAAAGCGGCCCTTTAAGTAAACGCAATTTCACTTTCCTTTGCCTCATCTTTCTCCCCCACCTCGTCTTTCCCTCCCTCTTATTCTAACATTAGATTGTCTATGGTGTGTGTATGTCACCACGAAATGTATCTTTATGCATTAGACATCCGACAATCATTTTTCTCTTACTTAAACCCCTTCCACCCACCTCTCCTAATATTCTCTCTGTTAAGGTTTAATCTCCCTCCCCCTCATACTTACACTCTCTCTAAATTCTGTTTTTATTTCCGGAGTTGTTTTTTCTGTTTTCTTTTTGAATTTGTAGGTCTGATGAATTGGATCGTATTTACGATTCCAATGGAATAAATTATGACCATGGAATATTAGTGTTTAAGCCTTTTTATTATATCCTTACTCTGTCCTGGACATTGAGTTCTACCTGGATTCTTCCTCTTGGAATTTTTATTCTAAAAATATACATGTATGGGTATTTATATATTTTGCATATGTATGTATATTTACCACTAATATATATATATATATATATATATATATATATATATATATATATATATATATATATGCAGCATATCTTTATTCAAGCTTGTTTCATTAAATAATAGATATATTATATCTATTAATTTTTTTTACAATAATCCGTTCTAGTTCTCTAATTAGCTTCTTGATGCTAACTTGAAATTCACCAATGAAGACGTCGCCGGAGTTCTTGCTAACCCACGTACTTTCGATCTCCTACGAGATCAGACTGAATTGCGAAGACAAACTTAATGCAATTGTAATCGTTGTGAGGGTGATTTTTAAACACGCGTTCTTGTAAACGCGCTCTGTTGAAATTATAATTATTTAAAAATTATTCTTTGTGGTTAAGATGCTTTGTAAACAAGAGTTCCCAATGAAAGGCGGATAACCAGAGATGGTAAATTGCAACATGGACTTAAATGTTAGTCAACTCAAATGCGTTTTAAAACATTGCTACAATACTCGTAATAAATTTTGTTTAGTGTTGGTTGGTTGATTTTAAAATAGAAGGCCTTGAGAATATGAAGTATTTGTTTACAATCTTCATGGTGTATTTTCTTGTATTGTGAAGGTGGAGAGGAATGTGTTTTTAAATGTTGTGCGATAGAACTTGTGTCTGACAAATGGAATGTGAGACGTCTTGATAATGTTCTTTCAGTTGAGCCAACGTATGTACATTTTTTTGTCAGAGATACAATCTTCCAAAGGACATTTAAACTGGTATATAATGTTGGTCTTTTGTGAAACACTAGGTGACGGAGAAGAGTTATTGCGTATGATGAAGTATAGTATATAATTAGTTTTTTTTTGTTTTTTTTACTGATATCAGTGGCGAATATATTATTACTTATGAGATTTTTAGGATTTTTTCATCTTGTTTATAATTAGAATACATTTGATTACGGCATAGTACATTGATATGTTTAGGGTTATTTGAAGAAGTATTATGTTCTTTTTTTATTTATGTTACTATTTCTAATAGCTCGTCTAATTTGTTCATCAACGATGTAATGAGGTAAGGCATTATTAATGAGAGTTTGTTTAATGCTTTTTAATTCGCTGTAGAAAATATCTTTTGTGGAAGAGTTAACTTTTGCACGGTCTATTAAATTTTTTATAATAGCTATTTTGTAATATGACATTCACTTTTATAGTTTCGAGTGCACGTGTTTATGCTAGTTTTCTTTTTATATGAGGAGGTTGTCAGTGTATTATTATTCATGTCTATCAATACATCAAGTAAATGAATTTTATTGTTATTGTTAAGTTCATATATGAAGTTAGGAACGGAGTTTTGGGGAAAATTTTCTTGTAGTTCGTATATTTCATCCATAATTTTAAATCAAATGAGAATATCATCTCCATATCTTAAGGGAGATTGAGTTTTTTTTTAGTGGTGTTAAATATCTTATTTTCAAGCTTAGTAGATGTTACTAAATATTGGTTTAAGAAGTGAACCCATGGAAACGCCATCACGTTGTACGTAGATATTAATTTGATGGTCATAGAAGAGAAACTCAGTGGTACAAGACAAGAATAGTTTCCGTAATATGTTAGATTTAATTTTTGGTGTAGGGAGAGATGGGCTGTTGTAAATATATATTCTATTATATCAATCTTTTCTTTAACTGGGACATTGGCAAATAAACTTTCAGTATCAAGTAAGGCTATGGCTTCGTTAATTGTGTTTTTAAGATTTGGATTAGTTCGTATGTGGATTTAATGCTGTATTTACTATTTACTAGGTATGTCTGGTGTAATGAGTTAGTTAATGATTTTGGCTAATTGATAAACCGGAGTGGGTTTTGGATATGATAGGACGGAGAAAGGATATATATATATATATATATATATATATATATATATAAGTAACGAAAATCTTGGTAATCCGTATGGATAATTCCAAAAAGGATGGAATCCTGAGAGCTCAATGTTAATTCAGAGCGAATAATTTAATTTAAAGAAAAACAGACCACTTTAAGGCTCCATTGTAATAATTTATTTGACCAGAGAATTTTATCCTTCTCTGGATCCTCAGACTTCACTTTCAAAAGGTGAAACAAAAAATAAAATTAAAATTTACACTTTTGACGGGCAGTATTAAGCTTATATCATTTGACATAGAGGGTAGTGAGGGATGCTATGAGAGACATGGTCGGGGTTTAGAGAGGGAAGGAAGAGTTTTAAAATTTATTTTCATATTTCTTTTTATAATACTTAATATTGAGGAAGGAGGAGGTAAGGGTCAGACATTGACCTATTTAATCGGTCAACTCAACGGAAATGATATGGGAGAAGTAAAAGGAGAAAAAAGAGAAAAAGAAAAAGGAGGAAGTAAAGAGATAAGAGATGTACGTAGGGTTTTTGGAGGAAGAAGAGGGGTAGTATAGCTTTAGCAATTTAGATGAAAACAGATTTTAACGTTTGATAGTAATTTAAATGTTTAAAAACTCCACAAAGAAAATAAATTTAATGCTTGTCATATATATATATATATATATATATATATATATATATATATCGAGAGAGAGAGAGAGAGAGAGAGAGAGATAGGGGCAGGGGAGTGTAATTAAGATAGTTGAATTTCCTTTATATGTTTTTACTAATTTATTTTCTTTATTCTTAGGGTTGTTAAACTGAATATACACACCGGAGAAATGACGCAAGGTTCGTGTTACCAAAAGGTCTAATTTTACTTCCAAAAATGAGAAAGAAGCAAGGAGAAACAGCCTTAAATGTTCCAGATCATTATAGAGTCGAAGAGAATCATCATATATAAATAAATTAGAAGTGAAATAAAAATTGTAAAATTGCAAATATTTCGCGTTGTTATTATTTTTTTAAAATCAATCCAATTGTCAAAAAAGATCTCTTAATTTGCATCGACAATAACATTAAAAAATACATCTATCAATTTATACGGCTCTGCATTATTGCATTTCAACCGATGCACTTACCGATCTTCTTGGAGTGACTATTGCAATCACTCTTATTCGTGGATACCCATCTACTAGGACGGCTTGCCAATCCCTATTACAGACGCTTTCTCAGGCACATTTGTGTTTATACTTCAACTATGATGAGCACACCTAAGTTACAGTTTCTGGGAAAGAGCGTATTATTTAGAGTGTTGTCTAAAACCCTCAAACTCTCGGCCACGATAACTTATGACTTCGTGCTAGCACAGCTATCGACGGCCCCAAGGATTCCGTCTACCCAATTTCAATTGGGTCAACCGGTGGTATAGTGTTCAGACACTTTCCAAAGGTGCCCACCGCTGAGATCGACACCTCCAGTTCGATAACATCAGTAAGTCTCCTTCCTGACAAATCGACCACGGTTAGATTCGAACCCGGATTTCATGGTCAAGAATGCGTACGTCCTAACCACTCGGCCACATGCACATTGGTTAGAACGCTCGCATTCTGACCATGAGATCCGGGTTCGAATTTCACCAAGGTCGATTTGTCATGAAGGATATCGCAATCAAGAGCTAAGAATAGACTCTTTATTTTGATGATATTTTCTATTTTTGGTAATTTTCGCTTGAGAATAATTCACTAATTTGAGCAGCATAAAAGTAGTCGACAGTCGTTGGGATCATCAAGTCAATGCAAACGATAGCTGCGTAGTAGCCAGGGCTACATACCGTTTTGAATTCAGAATTTTCCTTCTCCTAGGCCGGTTGCGACTCAACGCTATAGAACCCAGTCTCTTAAAGATTCGACCGTAGTCGGGATCATCAAGTAAAAGCGAACGATCCTTTCCTTTAGATGTATAATATGTGCTTCGCCAGGGCTACATACAAGTTTTGAATTCATGATTAACCTTCTCCTAGACTGGTTGCCACCCAAGTCTATAGAAGTCAGTCTGTCCAACGTATTTATGAGGATTGGGACATAACCATTAGTGTTCATAGGTACGGTATATAACAATATGGGAAAGCTCATCAGAACAGATACCATGAAATTATTTATAGAAATGTAGAGGGAATCAAATTTATGACGGGCTGGGGGGAGTGACTATGCCGTGACCCTTCAGGAGGTTGGGTATCATATATATATATATATATATATATATATATATATATATATGTGTGTGTGTGTGTGTGTGTGTGTGTGTGTGTGTGTGTGTGTGTGTGTGTGTGTGTGTGTAAAATACATGTACATGTTGTATTCGTTTATTCTTAAAAGGTTGAAATATTCTTCTTCTTCTTCTTCTTCTTCTTCTTCTTCTTCAGGACGCTGGCGATCATAAATAATAATAAATATAACCCATATACGTGTTGAAGTGCCTTTATTTTGAAAGGGGTGAAATATTCTAATGTTGTTAGACGAGTTAACTTTCCGACAAGATTTGAATATACAACTACAACATAAAGTGATGTCACCTCCACCCGTGACAATCAAATTTATTGAATAATAATAAATAGATGTCATATATGCAACCGCTTTAGCGGGTACTGGGAAGATTGGGGTCAAGACAATGAAAAGATTAAACAACAAACAGAGAGCCGGCTTGGAAGGCAAATGAGAGAAATAAAGAAAATCTGATATGAGATTTCGATATTAGATGAGATCACTAGAAAGCCAAATGTCTCAACACGCATTTGCAAGAAGATCAAGCGGAAATATAAATTAAATCCCTAATTGAAATTCTATCAATCAAGGAAATGCTAAAACAGAAAATGCAGTTAAAAGCACAAAGGACAAGACGATACGAAAAAGCGTTGTAGGTTCTATCGCCACAATAAAATATTCCAAACGGACCTTAAGAAATTTTACAGGGAAATTGGAAAAGCAGCTATACATGTCAAAAAGCTACCATCTATTGACAAGGTGCAGAAATTTTGGGAGAATATTTGGAGCAGCCCAAAGGAATATAACCCAAATACAGAATGGATCCAACGTGAAGAAGGAAGAATGCTGGATAAACCTCTGCAAGAATGGGAAAATATAACCACAAATAATGTCAGGCAAGCTCTAACGAAGTCCCAAAAATGGAAATCCTTAGGAAATGACAAGGTACCCAATTTCTGGCTCTGTCATTTGTCATCATTCCATAAAGCACTTGCACAAACTCTATCAATCCCAATGACATCCTGGAATGGATCACTGAAGGTATTACATGTCTCACGCCAAAAACGAGCGAAACAGATGATCCGAAGAGATTATATGCCAATAACATGTCTGTCTACCACGCATAAATTTATCACGTCTGTCCTGATGAATCGTGCTTACTCTTTTTTCCAACATTCCAAACAACATTCTTACACTGGAACAAAAAGGGATGCCGAAGAGGTTCATATGGTTGCAAAGATCAACTACTGATAAACAAAATAATCCTGTAAAATTGCAGAAGACGATGTAGAAATCTTAGCACAGCATGGATAGATTACCGTAAATCCTTTGATAGTGTGCCACACTCTTAGATCTTTAAGACTGGAAATGTACAAAGTCTCCCCCTTGGTAGTAAATTTGCTTAAGCACAGCATGGGAATGTGGAACACAACACTATACCTAAATCATACCAAAGGCACTGCCATCTCCAACCGCCTGAATTTCCGATGAGGCATCTTTCAAGGAGACTCCCTGTCACCCCTTCTGTTTTGTCTGTTCTTACCCCCCCCTTACGCATGAACTAAGCGACCGTAGCCACGGTTACAAACTAAATAAGAAAGTATTCAATCACCTACTCTACTTGGATGATCTCAAACTCTTTTTCAAAGACGACAATGAGTTGAAGGGTCTCCTCAATACTGTAAAATGTTTCAGTGACGACATAGGTCTGGATTTCGGATTAGATAAAGGTGCAAAAGTAACATTCAAGAAAGGGAGAATTACAGAAACACACTCAATAGATCTAGATTTTGTTACAAAGATTAAAGAACTGGAACAAGATGAAGCCTATAAGTATCTAAGAATTAGTGAAGGAGAACGTATACAGTATACCCAAATGAAGAAGGTTGTAGAGTCGCTATGCAGCTCAGTACCTGACCAGTTACTTCCACATATCTGGGATGAGAGCCGGAATGTATTCATTCATGCGTAGTGTCTTCGGCAAGCAGAACCGGAAGAGCCCATACCTCTCCAGGTCAAACCACGGCCGATGTCTAACTTGAACGCTCGCCTTGGCCAAAGACACGTGGTCATTGATTCCACTGAGGGAAACCACCGTCCTGACCGATGACCGTTAACCAAGGGAACCCACCGCCCTGTCCATTAACTCCCATCCAGGAAGACCGCCACCCAGCGATACTGTGCCATCAGCCCACTAGTTGCATCCATAACTATAGAGCCAGATCTACGCCACTGTGCTTGATGAAGGTTGATGCTACAAGAGAGTTCCACCCCCTTGGATAAATGTTGTTTTTTTAGGTGTATAGCCATCCACCTCACCAAAATAACCTGGTGGGGAACCGGTTTAATTGCCGATATCCCGACCATGTGACAAGTGGTAAAAGGTTACCAATAGGATTCGTAGAGCGATCCGTCATAAATTATTAATTCTATTGTTTCAACAAAACAGCTACCTGACAAATCCTCAATTTTTTTGTACTGAGGCTATAACCATTGACTCACTTTCAGAGAATGAGCCAGACAACTCTATAATTTTCTCAGAATTTGTTATGGGGTCCACCCCTTTTTCATACAAGTGAACTTGTACTGCTGCCGGTGAATACCCGGGAGAGATACACTGATAGAGAGATAGAGTGATACAGTGAACAGTGAAAGAGTAAGAGTGTGAGGTAACCGCTTTGTATGAGTCACAGTTGCGAGCACGTAGACTCAGAAGGAAGTCCTACTTCGATACTGAATTTCCCAGGCTGTATATATATTATTATTGCTACTAACCGCATTTCTGGATCTACAAACCGTATTACCAATTGTATTATTACGTCAATACATTTATTTGCTATATTTCATTCCTGTGTTTGTCATTCATTTGAGACCGGATTTCATCTCGGAATCCACAACAGAATCACTCTCTGTACTTAAATCACCGAGTAAGAAAAACGCAAACAATCCCTTTATAGTGAAATTACAAGATCAATCTCATCATTACAGGATCAATCTCATCTGCAAGAAAAAAATAAGTTGTCTTCTGTTGGGTACCTATTCATATTAGCTACCATGAAAATGGTAAAGTTGACATGACAGCAAAAGAATCCATAAAAATGAACATTTCAAATTTGAAAATCGCCAATACAGACTTCATTCAAATTAACAATAAACTTATACATTCTAACCAAATAACAAGAGTTATGGAACTATCAACAACGAAGAAACTTTGTCTCACTGCTGTATATGATTCGTTTTTTACGGTGTATCAACCCATTGCAGGTTATTTAAAGACAAAATATTTTAACATTCTAAGATTTTTTAGTGATCCAAGTATTAGTAATTAACCCATAGCTGGGAGGGGAAGAGGTGGAGTCATGCCTTTCCCAAGGGTATTTATGCGTAAGTGAATATAACGAACCCAACAGGAATTGGAACTGTACACTCTGATTAAGAATTATGAGTCATTATCCATTACACCACCCGCACATCCAAGCATAAAGCACCTTGTATTCCCAAACGGTCATCCATCAAGTTTCTAACCAGATACGATGTTGCTTAACGTCAATGATCGTACGGTAACCGGTGTTTCAACGTGCTGTGGCCATAGTCCAATCATTGTGTATAGA